CGAAATCGGCTTGAGAGGGTGGGAAATCAGCTTGGGAGCATGGAAAAGGACAGTTCTTCCCGAATCCGTAGTATCTCTATCCTTATACTTTGGCTTCACCGGAATAGGAAATAGGAAATAGGTAAGTCAGCGGGAGCTGCGATACCTCGGCAGAAAGACAGATAGAAGAAGGAGAATTATGTTCGGATTGCACCCATCTTTCAAGCTAGCCCTGGCGACAACACCCGACTACGTCGTGTGTTGCCGCCCGGTATCATTCATTCCCTCATTGCAACCTTCTTTTTATTAAGCTAGCCCTGGCGACAACACCCGACTACGTCGTGTGTTGCCGCCCGCTACTCTAGAATTTACCAGCTGCCATTCCCTTATTGTAACTCTAACCTTTACAGCTCCTGCTGGCTTATTGTGCTGTTGTGATGATTGCACTAAGCTTAAATATTAATGATTTATTCCTACCCCTAACTTGTATTGAACCATCAATGTTCAGTTTTGTTAGCTTATTACTATCTCTATCCTTATACTTTGGCTTCACCGGAATAGGAAATAGGAAATAGCATTAAAGGGATTGAGAACTCAGGCAGTTTACCTGCCGAGGTAAATAGAAAATAGGAAATAGGAAATAGAAAATAGGAAATAGGAAATAGGAAATAGGAAATAGCATTAAAGGGGTTGAGAACTCAGGCAGTTTACCTGCCGAGGTAAAAAAGTTTGTAGGGTGTCTATCCCAACCGTACCGGTACGGTATGGACTGCAGACGAAACTAACTCTGGGACAACATTGCAAAATCGTACAGTCATAGTAGGCAAGGGACAAAGCGTAACAAAACCATTATCTGTACTGCTTTGTGGGTTTTTACTACTAGCTAGAGGCTGACTGTTTCTCTCAGTCATCATCCTTACTGTCCTCACTGTCCTCAATGTACTCACTGTCTGTGTCCCACCGATCTGGGCAACCATTTTCCTTGGCCCATTCCAAGATTACTGAGTGTCCTTCCCACTTGGCATGGGCAAGAGTCTGGCCGTCCCATGGGCATCCATTATCCCGAGCAAACTTCAGAATTTCCAAATGTCCTCCTCGTGCAGCAGAGGAGCAAGTGCTTTTGTCCCAGGGGCATCCATTCTCATGCGCATACTTCAGAATGTCCAGGTGTCCTCCTTTCTGCAGCAGAGGAACAAGTTCTTTTCCCAGGGGCATCATGTCATGCGCATACTTCAGAACTGCCAGATATCCACCCTCAGCTGCGCCAGCAAATGTCCATTTACCCCATGGACAGCCATTCTCATGGCATACTTCAGAAAGTCTAGCAACCAGTGCTAGCAGCCTTGAGCATGCGCTTTTGTCTTTGACCCAAGGGCAGCCTCTTTGATGGGCATACTTGAGGCATTCCAAATGGCCTTCCCTTGCAGCATCTGCGCATGTGTCTCTATCCCAAGGACAGCCTTTTTCATGGGCATACTTGAGGCATTCCAAGTGGCCCCTCAAAGCAGCTTTCTGGCATGTTGTTTTGATCCAGGGGCATCCATTCTCATGGCATATTTCAGAACGTCCAAATGGCCACTCCCAGCGGCAGCTCTGCATGTGTTCATCCCATGGACACCATTTTTACGTCATACCGGAGGCAATCCAAGTGTCCACCTGAAGCTGCTTCTTTGCACGTGTTTTATCCCAAGGGCAGCCACTCATTGGACTTCAAATGGCCAATAGCAGCAGCATTGCATGTGTGTCTATCCCAAGGACAGCCTCCTTCATGGGCATATTTCAGGATATCAAAATGACCATGTCTAGCAGCCCCCTCACAAGTGTTTTCATTCCAATGAAGTCCCTTCTCTTGAGCCCATTGAATATTTGAAGACTACCTGCTTTGGCAGCTGTAGCGCAGAAAGTGCCATTACTGATGCCACGACCAGCACTGATGCCAAAACCACCACCGAAGCCACGACCAGTGCTCGTATCACGGTGGGTGTACATGCCACGACCAGCACTGATGCCGCGACCAGCACTGATGCCGCGACCAGCACTGATGCCGCGACCAGTGCTCATATCACGGTGGGTGTACATGCCACGACCAGCACTGATGCCACGACCAGTGCTCGTATCACGGTGGGTGTACCAATACTGCGCTCGAGATAGGCTGGAACAAGTTGCACTGTAAAATGTATCAGTAGGGGTTGCTCGGCGAGTGGCATTACCCATATATGCAAAACTGCTGTCATCATCATCAAACCATTGGAGGTATCTCCACATTTGTACAGTATGCTTTGTAGAGATCCTTCATTTTATGATTGACTGGAGCCACAAAGGCATAATGCCCCATACCAAGACAAGGGAGGATTTTGTTGATCCAAATATCCTCATGCCGCAAACATGAATCTTCTGGGGCCTTCTGGAGATTGGTGGTTGCCTGCTGAACAGCGGCATTCACCTGTTTCTGTACGGTAGTGCCAACACAGCTTTGAGCTCTTGACCTGCTTCTGGCTTACTCTTGCTCTTGTCCGCCTGTAAAAATCCCGCAAGATAGTGGAGAGAGCTTCCGTCACGACTTGGCTGGGTACCTCCAGGGAATTCTTGGCTCGTTTTTGTGGTGAGGCTGAGGAGCAGTCTACAACCGGTCCTCTCTTACTTCCAGTGTCTTCTTCCATCTTCTGATTGTCCTTTTGGCGATGGTGCCAACAAAAAGCGGCTCTATTAGCTAGCCAACCAGCTTCTGTCTGTCTTGTCCTTTCGATGAAATAAAGCGGTCTTCTGCTTTCGGGACGACGCGGCAACGCGGCAACGCGGCAATGCGGCAATGCGGCAAGGTGAGGTGTTTTGTCATTTGTTTCTGGTAGGGTTAGAGTTGAAACTGATTGGATCTTTCGAAACTCTTCGAAAACAATCTTTCGCGGACCCGCATTGCTTCTTGAGTTGCTCTCTCACAAAGAGAAGGGAGCCAAGCCAAAAACCAAGATCGTACAGGTAGACAACACAATAGCATCAACAACTAGCTACTAAGAATGGTGGAAGTGGAAGAAATCGTGGAAGAGGAGGAAGTGCTTTCTCCCTCGCAAGAGCGTCTGTTGGATGCCGAGGAGATTGAAAAGGCGGCGTCGACTTTGACCCGTCCCACGGCACGAATGCAGTTGGAGAGTGTGGCAAAAAAGCTGCGCAAGGAAGGAGAAGCACTCAAGCGAGTGGAAGCCAGTCGTGCGGCTGCTCCGCCCAAGGAAGAAAAGAAGACTCTCCCAGCAGCAGAAGAGACCAAGCCAGCAGCACCTCCGAAAACTACTATTCCAGCAAGTCCTCCCGTGGTCATCATCAATAACAACGCACACTTTGTGCCCATTGACAAATTCTCCTTTGATGATGGTGGCTACAGCGGCGCCTGGGTGACTTTGTACATTGATCTTCCAGGCGTTGGATCGACGGTCGACAAGGAAAACATTACCTGCCAATTCACACCCAATTCCTTTGATCTTATTGTCAAGGGATACAAGGGAAAATCCTACCGTCTCTACAAGGACAATCTCGAAAATGAAATTGACGACTTCAAGAGTAAGCGAGTCGTCAAAGCCGACAAAATTCTGGTCAAACTCGCCAAGAAAAAGACCGATTATGGATCCTTTGAAGTGAGTTTATTCATCATAGTGTTTGAAGATTCGTAAAATGCTTTTTAGTCCATCTCACCTCACTTCACTCTCTTTTTTGTCATTGTCGCAACAGCATTGGTCCAGTTTGACGGCCAAGCGAAAGAAACCCGGTAGCAAGGAAAAGGATCCATCCGCGGGAATCATGGGTCTCATGAAGGAAATGTACGATTCCGGCGACGACAAGATGAAAAAGGTCATTGGAGAAACCATGATGAAGCAACGAGAGGGAAAGTTGGGGGATGGCATGGGAGGAATGGGTGGTGGTCTAGGCGATATGGATATTTAGGTGGATTGGATTATCTAATCTAATAGGAATGAATGGAGAAAACGCAAAACTACAATCAACAAAAAAGAGACGGAAGCAAGCAAGCAAATACGGCATCACGAGGATGTTTACGTCGTTGTCGCTTCGTGAAACACATGCCTGAACCGAGCTTGTAGTGTTTTAGGACAGTCGAGAAAGTCTAGGTCTTGAGGAGGACAGTCACATCTAGCTATCTTAGAGCAATAAACACATAATGAGCCTCTAGCCAAAAGTTTAGCTACAGGAACAGCACCAAGGCCAATGCGGCAAGTGCCAACAGCTCGCATGCACAGTAGGAAGGAGCCGAAGCAAGAAAAATCTATCCAAGCTCAAGTCAATAGAGCTGATGCCCAGCTTGAACCCTGTAGTGGACCAAAGTACTCATTCTTGCGTCTCCGCAGTACGGTATTACTCGTCTCCAAGTTCCTTCAAATGAGGTCAAAGCACCAACCGGACGACACAACTTGGCAAGCTCCAGCTTTGATCCGATCAGAGTAAATTTGAACTGGCAGGTTGCCATCCGTACCGGTATAGATGTGGCATGTAGCGTCATCACGCTCACGCAGATCAAGAATCTCAAGATTCGGAAGGTTGGCAATCATTTGGGATATGAAGTCACGGTCAAGGAATCCGTTTTCCTGGACTGCTGCTGCTGCTGCATCAACTCTATAACGTATGGATTTGTCTGTCATCTTGAATCTGAGCCGTTTGATTCGCTTGTGGCAAAAGATAGGCGAGGAAACCAGTTGCTGGCCAGCAACACCTAAACAATGCTTTACATCCAGCTGCAAGGTCAGGTCTTCTACATTAAGGCAAACTTGAGCGACAGTATTGAGCAACTCCAAAACGTTTTGGTTGCGCTCAGGGAGATCCAGACGGAACATGAGTGTTTTCAGATTGGTGCAATCACATTTGGGGAGTAGCTCTGAGAGTCTTCCCTCATACGGTACGCGTGATAATAGCTCAACCTGAGCGCCCCCAAAGCAGGCAGATTGTGGAATGCCCACTCGAAGGAACTGTTAGGGCGCGTAAAAAAATTTGCCAGGGCAAAATGTCCATAAACTGGATCAGCAATTTCTTTACTGAGTCTTTGCCAGCGATGACAGACAGGTCCAATGTTACACTGGAATTGTATGGTTGTCGTCATGTCACAGAAATTGTCCAAATAAGGTTCTGGCTGTGGCTTCAAAAACGAGAGCACTTTCTTCATTATATCATCAGAGAGGTGGGTATTTATGGGACTTGCATCTGTCACCATTGTCTTGTGGTTGGTGCTGGCTAGTTCTAACACAACATCAAGTTGAGTTTTGAGCCCTTGCACTGCCGAGAGCTGCTGCTCCGAAACTTGGGCGGTGATTCTACGCGCTGGAGGCTGAGACAAACAATGCTGAAGCCCAGAAAAGATATCTGAAGCAGACTTGATCAACTCGTGAAAGTCCTCCTGCGCTACACCTTCATCTGTCATTGTTTTGAATCTTTTCAATGGTCTTGTCAAAATGTTGTTTCTTGTGTTGGCAATGCTTCTGTGAATATATTTTATGTTGGGTTTGTCCAGATAGCTAGCGATGAGAGGGATCGTGGAGTTGTTGCGATCGTGAGATCGTGAGCGTTCGATCAGCGTGGAACCAAGATTTTAATTAAAACCTGTAGCTTCATACGCTTTAGATACCGTTCGGCATCATATCTTTCCAACAAGATCCAACAGTGTGAACGGCACTTTGGACACATAAATTGCAAGAGCTTTTCTCTTGTAGAGGACATAGCTATCGGCACTCTAGCTAGCTTTTAAGAAAGGATGAGGAGGACCAGATAATACATTGTTGCCTTTGCATAAGAAGAAAGAGGGTAGAAGCTGACAAACGGAAGCTTGATTGAATTCCATACGGTAGTTCTGAACCGACGGTACAAACAATGGCGACTTTCGGAAGTACATGGAAACCGTCAGGTGCTGGGATGACACCTCTGCCTCCGTCACCGGAAATCAAACCAGCATCGTCCCAGATTTCGGACCTAGAACCCCTACCTTTTTCTCTGGAAGGAACGCAGCAGCAGCCAAGACAGCAACAATCATCCCATTCTCGCTTGAGATCGATTGCCAAGTACCAGGCTTTTTCTCCCCAAGCCTTGGCCTGTTCGGATCCATTGCCAGCAAGTACGTTTTCCTCCTCCAAATATGGAACTAGCACCAGTGGTGGGACGGATACAACTACGGATGGCCGAATCCAGAATCGCCATTCGGGAAAGCAACAGCAGCAGCAACAACCGTCTTCGCTAGGAGCCGTGGCTGGAGCTCAGGGAGTAGCAGTCTTTCGGATATCCAAACCTCATGAACCACTCATGATGCTCAACCATGCCACATCCAACCGACATCACGCGTCAGCGGGTGGTAGACCAGTTTCTTCCTTGGCATTTCAGCCGGATGCCAGTTCTTCCTTGTATTTGGCGGCTGCCAGGGGATCCGGAGTTCTACTATGGGATGTCAGCGGGCACAGTCTGAGCCCCCTCTTGGGACGATTAGCCATGGATTCGGAACCAGATTGCGTGACAACCAGTTTGTGTTGGAAACTCTCACAAGAACGTGATGGCATTCCACTGCTGGCAACCACGACGCCTAGTTCCGCCTGTATTTGGGATCTGCGATCGCCACTGGCCTCCAAAAAGCCGAGTATACGGTTTGGGGGGCGTTCGTCTGCCTCGGGTGGTACAACAGCGACACGGAAAACTGCTGGCGCTGCCAACCCCTATCGACAGATTGCCTGCTCGCGGGCCAACGAATGTGCCGTACTCGATGCCGCAGGGACTGTCTGTGTTTTTGATGTTCGAATGACTGATAAATCACGCTTTGGTGCCAACCCATTGTCGGCTTTCCATGCTTTTGGACACAGTGGAGTAGGCATTTCTTATCTTGCATTGACGGCAACGAGTGCAAACAAAACCAGAGCCGTCACTTCTGCTTGGGTTACGTGGGGTTGGGATAGTCCCGATGCGGATGCAGTCGTCAAAGTCTGGTGTGCTCACACAAGCAGCACGGCTTCTACAGCTAGTGATGGCGTTGTCAAGTCAGATAGCACCAACAAGACGGGTGGCTCGACGGCGACATCTTCGGAGGATTATTGGTATATGGATGGATCCCCAGGACGGACATCTGGAACGTTTGCACCGTATCGGTTGATTGCTCAGTGCAGTCCACCGTACCATTTGGCATGTCCGCGTGTTTGCCCTGCACCTGTCGAAAATGGAATTCTGACAATTGGCATCATGGATCACGACAAAATGGGTGCAAATGGTGGGAGTCGTCGATTGGAAGGGTGGCGCGCAGAGCTATGGAAGGTGCGTCCAAATGCGGATGAGACAGACTCCAGTGAGCGAAGAATCTTTGGAATGGAAAAGGTTGTATCCTTTGATGGAGGCGGTGATCGAGACCGTGGCGTATTGGGCAAGGAATGCAGGCTGGGGCAACTCAAGGCTGCTGAGTTGGCCATCACTTCGTATAACCCGATGGGATTGCATGCCCTCAAAAACGACGACGACCGCATGCAGGACGGTGCAAAAGCACTGCCGAACATTGGTCTGGCTCTCTGCTGCCTTGGTGACAACGGTTTTGTAACGACCCATGTAAGTTTTGTGTTGATGCCATTTGTGGTTGTGATCTCCTTGGGTGGACTACGATACTTACAGTTGCGGCTTTAGATGATCCCGGAGGCACTACCGAAGAAAGCTTTGACTCAGTCGGACGGTACAAACGCCTTGTCTCCCCAGCGATCGTCACTGCTTCCGAGTAGCCGTGCTAAAGTCTTTGCCGATGAAAGAGAAGGTGTAAGCTGGGACGCTGCAGGGATTTGGGGCGATCAGGGAGAGCGCCCAAATCGGCCAGTCGTTAGCAAAACGGAAACTCGTTCGGGAGTCGAATCGATGAGAACTGTTCTGGCTTCGCCGGTCAAAGAAAGTGGGGGACCGTCGGATCCCCAGCAGCCTTCGAGAACTGGTGACGGTGCGGCGATGCTGTTCGAAATGGATGTTCCAGCGGTTGCCTACGGAACAGTCACGGCGGAAGGAATATCAGGCGTCCAGGTCGGAATCGATCTCTCGTCGCCCAAGGTCCCCGTCACGTCGTCGATGGTGGAAGAGAACGACAATACTACAGCCCACGTGAGAGATGTGGCTGCTATGGCCGAGCGCATGGACAACATTGAGACTGAACGGATACCGTGTCCCCGACTGTGCGGTGCGAGCTTTGGACCAGGAATCGGAGGGCTTGCAATGTTTAAGAATGGCGATGTCAAGAAGGTAGGTGCCGGGAAAATACTGCTGTTATTCGAACTTCCGTACTATGGCTCCATCCTCACGTGTTCCATCTAGATGTGGTTCTGGTATGACCGCGCTGGATCATCACGACTAGTCGGTGTTCCTTCGTCAATTATTGCTCCTGAACAGGCGTTCTCAGACCCAGGGACAGCATCAAAAATCGGCGGCGATGGAATCCACGATACTGCGAACTTGAAAGTATCGATCCCAAGAGACAGTCCGCGCACTATGAAAGACCTCATGAGCATGGTCAAAGCAGTGAAAGAGACAGAGTGGGGAGAAATCGATGGAAGTGACAACGACAGTGGCGATCAAGAGCAGAGTTCAGGCGACAACTTCTACGAATACATGAGTACTGGCAGTATTAGTTCCGATTCAGACAACGAACCTGTTGACTTTGGAGGAAACGTTGAGGTAACACTTGGCAAAGGGTCTCGTGCAATCTACGAGAATTACTTTGGGAAATTTCGTCGTCCCCTCGCAGAACCCTCAGGAGGAGGAAACTCCAAAAAGACTGCTGAAGACGGGTTGTCCCAGTCGGGCTCCTCTACTGGGGGTAAGGTTCAAGTCGGACCATCCAGCGATACTCTTGCGCCGAGCGTGTATGTCACACACGACTATGACAAGGCTGCCCTCAACAATCAAAGCGCTGAGCTTGCCAAAGAATGGGAGCTCGGACAGTGGCAGGGAGACATCTCGAGCGTTGTCGCAACTAGTAGCGAACGATGGATGAAGTGGACACACCGTGACATGGCAGATGGAGCAGCACCTGACTCCCCGCTTGCGCATCGAGGTAAGAATACCTTCTTTATCACTTCCCTACGGATATTGTGTGCCATTCCCATCGACTGTGTTCTTCTTTCACTTGTAGGCCTGCCGAGTTACAGAGGGTTGTCGTCACCGACAAAATCACGTTCAAATTCGGATCCCCTTCTCCCCTCCCTAGCCCCCGGAAAGAAAGTTCATATGGAAAATGAACCTGGTGTACACGGGGGGGAGTATGCAGTCCGTCCAAACATGCAGGAGTCGATGGTGTTCCTACGCAAGTTGTTTTCACACCAGCAAGAAGGGAATGCATTTCCGCAAACGTTGCTATCTCCGCCTGATAATCCTATGCGTAAGTGCTGCATTCATGCGTTCCACTTTGAAGTGTGACTTTCTCTTACATGCAACGTTTTCCTCTTTTTCCAGTTATTACCAAGTCCAGATCGGTTCAGAGCCTTCCAGCAATGAGGCAGCCATCGGTTAGATCTGGTATGTCTGGAGAAGGCAGATCGACGAAAGTCCAACCAGGTGTGTACGCATTGAGCTCTGACACACAGAGCGAAACTATGCACGAGGACGAGAAAAGGCTCTGCCAGATTCGATCCTTGTGCAATCACAATGCAGGTAAGAGACGTCCCTCGGATGTCAAGAGCGCGATGTGTCAACGTGAGGCCAACACTTCGTTCTTATCTTTTTTGCAAGACGTTTGCGAACGAGTTGGGGAAGTGGGGAAGCAAGGTGTTTGGAAGCTTCTGGCTCAAATGGTTGATCGCCGACTGAACGAGAGGCCTGATGCTTTCAACGGATGGGGTGGCAAGAGCGGAGGAGCTCTTGGAGTGGAGCTGGTGGCATCCTTCATGCGTTACTACGAGGCTCTTGGTGATGTGCAAATGCTCGCAACAATGGTATGTGTGCTGAGTGGGGGGCAACCGAGAACGAACGGATCCGGCAAAGGGAATCAATTCTTCTTACCCGAAGGACACGACGAGAAATATGACACCTATCTACGGCGCTACTCTGATTTGCTGTTTGGATGGGGTCTGCTTGTGAAGCGAGCAGAGCTTAAAAAGCATCTACAACGCGTTCAAGAAAGGGAAGGCAAGCTCTTGAACGATACTGCTGCCGAGAAGGAACGCTTACCTGGTATTGCCCTAGTGTTCACTTGTCCGAAGTGCGGAAACGAAGCAGAGTTTGGGACTAACGTTTGTCGGTCCTGCCAGGAGTTTGCTCTAAAATGCAGCATCTGCGAGAACGGAGTTCGCGGCCTGTTCATAGTTTGCGATATCTGCATGCACGGAGGCCATGTCTCGCATATGGCCAGCTGGTTCGCCAAACACACTCAATGCCCATCAGGCTGTGGCTGCTTCTGTACTTTCACGGCTCACCCGCAGCGACGCAGCCTCACAGAAACCAATCCAAACAAAGCTGGTATGTCTTTCTTGCCCATTCATCGCGGTGGCGTTGATCCCCTGGACGGGTGACGAATTCAACCTCCGACAACTGAACGAAAGAGATTGATCAAGTTACTACTAAAGCAATGTAAAAACTAATGTATCTACCGGTATCACCTCGACTTTGCAGCGACATTGCTTCGCTGTGCGCCGTTGACGTGCGAAAACGACGCTTCATCCGAATTCGACCTTGTTCTGAATCTTCTCAAAATTTAACCATGACTGATCCCACTGACCCCACTTATCAGTGCACTGTCTGTACCACTAATGAGCCCACTATCAGCGCCACTGTTGACGCCGCTCCCGGTATTAGTGCCTGTACGTGATGTCGGCTCGGTTGGCACGGGAAAATCGTATGGTGCCTCATCATTGTCCAAACTCTTCTTGATCGACGGATACCCACTTCCTTCCCCGGGACTGTCACTATCTTCCTCGTCGTCATCATCGTCGTCGTCATCATCATCTTCTGATTCCTCGTCATCGCCGAAAGAGAAATCAAAGTCGTCGTCTTCATCGCACGACAGCAATCCTTGAATGAACAAATCTTGAGCAACATCATTCCAATCACTACTGAAGAGAACAGATGCCAAAACACAAGCACAGGTTGCAGAACCCATTGCTAGTGCGCCTGCCACCGACACTTCGTCGTAGTTTAGTCCATAGATGAAGATTAATGCCACTGGCATCGTCACCAACCATCTGCACACAAGCATGACCAGAGTGGCCAAATTGAAACGCCCCTGTGCGCCAACGAGACTCCAGCAGACTTGCCCAAAAGCCATTGACAGGTTGGCCAAACCCACTAGACCCAAAAGTGAATCAAGGAGATGCTGGAGGGTGTAGTCAACCGTCAGAGCAACAATCAAGTGCCTTCCAGACAGTAACAGAATCGATGTCAAGATTAACGCTTTGACAACAGTCCAGAACAAGGCTTTGTGGGACAATTTCTTTGCTAGCGAGGGCTGGGAGGCTGACAAGTGAAACGCCACCCGAATGGCTGCAGCTTCGCTGATGCCTTCGGTTGACGCCTCCAAAACATCCCAGATGCTTCCCATGATAGCCCACGTTGCAACTTCAGCAGGGCCCAATGTCTGGAGGAAGAGTGTAAGCAGATCGACTTCTCCCAATTCCAGGAAAGACCCCATTATGAGAGGTATGGAGGAAAGTACAAGGTTACACATCGCTCCAAAGTTCTAATGGGAGAACAATAAGTGTCAGCTCATACTGTGGAAGAAAGAGGCATTTTCAACACGTGATGCAACCTACCAGTACTGCAACGCTGCGCAGAAGGCCCGCCCAGAAGTGATCCATCCACCCCTTGACCACACAGTACGTCACCTTCAAGACACAGGATGCAATTCCAACAATGACTTGGATCCACGCAACGGATATCAGGGCAGTCCGACTCTCCTCGAGTCGGTCTTGAGGGGTGTAAACGTTGTCATCGCCTTCATTGTCAATTTGGTCAGGGTATTCTTTGGGGATGCTGGATGTTGTTGACAAAACTATCAGAATAGCAATCAAGGTCAGGGATGCTACGCATACATCCATGATGGTCTCTGCAGTGGAGATTCGGAAGGACAAGGTGTGAGGGATGGGCGGGGCTAAGCGGTACCGTGCGTATCTAAACCGGCCGTTCTCGAACTTACCAGTTGTCGAATGGACTGAACCACGAATTTGGCAGGGGACCATGACGGTGCGATAGATGGCTTGCACCAAGAACAACACGAAAATGATCTCGAAATACTGCTGTGCCAAGGCTGCAATCTCCACAGAATCGACCAACCACAGCAAGACATCATCCATCCAAGTGTACCATAGGATGAGCACCGTTCCAACCAAGACGGCCTGCAGGATGCAAGACAGCTGCACGTATTGCCCAGCCAACAGGTATCCTTCACGGGTGAAAGTGCTGGGGCCGTTGTTGTTATTGTTCTCGCCCTCTGCGTTGTTGTTCGTAGCCGTACTGGTTAGAGCCAATTGAACCAGCGTCGACTCGGCATCTGTAATGGCAACCGATAGAATTTCGCCAGTCATTCGGTAGAGGAGCTGAACCAATAAGAATGCGACCATGGCATGGGTTCCCACAAACTGCGACAAGATGACAATGAGGAAACATCTAGTAACCGGTTCTACGAGAGCACCAACAGTGACGGGAAAGGCCAGCCCCATCATCCGTTTCCATTCCTCGTTGAGTTCGGCAACGTCCAACCAAGGTTCCATAGCCATGCAACATGCAGCCGCCAAGGGTGTGCGGTGGGCATGAGCAGTTTCGGGTGATCCAGGAAAGTACCTTACTTTACCCGGGTCGTCCGCATCCGCAGCATCATTGGGAGAAATGTCATCCACAATGCTGGACATGATGGAAGAAGGATATCCGTACTTGCCACCATTCTCATTCCAACTTCGGAGACTTCCACTTCGAGCACTTCCACTGAACGAAGGCCTCCTCATGAATTGCGAGGATTGTTGTTTGGCAGCAGACTGCCGTTGTCGAATGGCCATGGCTTTTCGCGCATAAAACGCCGCCACGGATCCAGTCACCGGAGGCGGCTGCTGATGAGGTGAAACCTTGGAGGATCGTTGTTGCTGTTGTTGTTGTTGTTGCTGCTGCTGTTGTGGTTGGTTCGTCTGCTGTTCTTTGGACTCGGCATCCAACACACTATTGGCCAAACCCGACATTTTCAACCCCGCCGCACTGCTCTTGAGACGAGACATTGTATTACTACTGGCAGCAGGGCCATTGGCAACCTGTTGCGACAATCTCTCGAGGCGCCTACTGAGATGCCGCCTTTCGGTTTGAATGGCTCTTCGCCACTGCCAGGACGGATCTCCCGAGGGACGACGAGAGTGCTTCCGGCGAGGCCAGGCTGCCGACGATCTTCCTGTTGCCGACATGGTATACAACCGCCCCGTAGTTGCCGCACTGAGATTTCGACTGAGAAGTCCACTACTGCTGGCCACTTGCGATGTTTGACGTGCGGGCTGCGACGATCGAACGGAGGGTTGTTGCGCTGCGAGGAGGGTTTGTGTTCTCCTTCCGACTTCGATAGGAGGTGGTAGAGGAACGCTTGGCATCTGAGCCGCTGATTCTGTGGTCCTATCCGTTTCGTCCTGGAGGGTACTCTTGGTGGTTGTGGGTGTCACGGGAATTGGTTCTTTTCCTTTTTCGCTTTCTTCCATTTGAGGAGCGCTGCACACTGACCTGCTCTCTGGATTCGGCGGCAAGAGAATGGCAGCGTGGACCGTTCCATTAGTATTGTTGTTGTTGTTGTTGTTATCTCCCTTGGCAGGAGGATTAGCCGGGACTGCTGAAGTCAGTTCGCTTCCGGGTGGAGAGACAAAGTTCTCATCTTGTTGGCTTTTGTTAGGCAGTGCCTTTCCGCTTGCTTGTATCGATTCCGATTGACGGCGTTTCCTCACAACATGAAGATGGCGTCCAAACACAACGAATGGGTACATTAGGAGAAAAGCCAGCAAGCAATAGGCAATCACAATGTGATGAAAGCCCGTGAATGGTTCGGACGTCTGAACAATGTAGCCCTGGAATCCAATAGCCGCCGGCTGGGCCTGGCGACTGCTATTCTGGAGGATATGCTCCTCGACGTACGCATGGTGCTTCTCATATTCTCCAAAGTCGCCCGAGGGCTCACCCTTGGACATCATCCCACCAAGAGCACGGCTGTTGCGGGAAGCTGGTCGACCTCTTGCACTTCTTTTTCTCTGGCCCCCTATCATGAGAACACTCCTTAGTTCTGCTCGTCGTGGTAGCGAAGATAATCCTTTAGTATTATCTTCGCTGTGGTGCGCTTCAATTGGTCGCTCTCTCTATTGCGGATACCCTCGACAGCAACCTATGCGGCTCCCACACTTCTTTCGTAAGGCTTCTGGTCGCTGCGTCGCTGCCGTTGTGTTGGTGTCGAAGAAGACACAGAAGAGACAGAGCTTTGACCCGCAGAGCTGCTTTTGCATCGAAACAATTAATCGTGTTAAATTTCAGATCTGACATGTTCTTTGAATGGCCGGCTGGTAGCTAGCTAGTAGTAGTACGGTAAGGTCCGAAGGGCTTTAAAAGAGTTACATGTACTAGTAGATCTAGTAGTCTCCTGGGGTATCCATCTCGTCTACCTCGCCGTACGATTCATTCCTATCCAGCAGGTAACCTTTGCAACCCGTCCGTTGCAAACAGAAGTACTATGTGAAACTGGCATGCCCTCGCTTTCCCTTCCGTCCTGTGTTGGAGGAAGATATGCATAGTTGTCGGGCGCTGTTATGTCTTGAGAGGCCATTGCAGCCGGTGCAACTACTAGTACGTGAATGATGCTTTCAACACGAATGTACAAGCATCTCGGATGATATCTGTGCCTAGCAATACTATCTTTTTATTATCTTCTTGCTTTATCAGGCCCTTCATGCTTTTCGATTCAACTTTTCGCGGCAATCCCCCCCACATTTGCAACAGCACCACAGACCCACATTTACAATACTTGCACCACGCACTCTTCTTCTTTTTCTTCAAACTAGCTAGCTGGTGTCATGTCTCACCAGTTGTCAACAAAGCCAAAGCCAACCTTCGAAAGGCAGAAGATGGACAATGATGCTGCTGAGACATACGCGACGGCACCCATCCCCACCGAATAGAGCGGGGCTTCAGAGCTCCCGCTGAACTGGTAGTACGAGTGCTTGGCCACGTTTTGATAGATGAACTCATAGTCTTCCACGTCAAAGTTCTGCGCCATGGTGCAAGAACTATCATCTTCCACCAAAGTGCCCACGTCCCTCACTACCCTTTCATAGTACTCAGTACTCGGTAGCATCTTGTAGAGCTCCTCTTTCTGGTCGAAAAAGAGGGACAGAAACCTACCCCAAAAGAAACACAGCGAAATGTAACACAGGTAAAAGCCAACCACTTCCACAGTGACCTTCAGGGCGGGCTTTTCCTCGATCCAATCTGAGATTTGTACATCCAAGGACTGTGCCATTGCACGTTCTTTCATTTCTGCCTTGGATTGGCGATACCTCTTGCTCGATAGAAAATACCACAAGAACCCCGTCAGTCTGAGTACTGCCAGCCCTGCCAAGAGTAACCCCAAGTACAGCAAGTCCAGATTCTGGAACTTCAAATCTGTTATCTCCAAGAACACTGCGTAGATCAACTCATAGATCGTCAAATGTGCGACACAGTAGCAAAGAAAGGCAGAAACGGCGAAACCTGTGAATTGTGCCTCGAATTTTATCGCTTTCCATGTCGCGCTCGATTGGATGTGTGCATCAGGCTTTACTGGGTGCAGTGGTGTAGTTTCCGCTTTCTGTTTTATCAAGTCCGAAGCAACAACTCTAGCTTCCATTGGAGCGCTCCTTGCAACCTGCTGCCCCGCGGAGGAGATCTCGTTGGCGGAGATGCCCCCATTTGTTTCTTTCTTCGACTCAACCTTTGCTTGCTTGACATCTGCCAACGGAGCTAGCTTCTCAGGTATTTCGCGCGTATCGGAACTCGATTCGTAAGCATTCAAATCGGGCTTGAATATGTCCTTGGCTGGAAGGTTCTTCATGGCTGATGCTGAGTAAACTTTCGGTGTACCAACTTTCGGCGGCGTTGCTGTCGACGTGACATCAAAAAGTCTCCGAAAGCCTACCTGAAAAACGTCATGTGGGCCATCATCCTCTGTGAAAAGGGTGATGGATGATAGGTCCACAAAGGGAGTGGTTTTCAGTAGTCTACGAAACCCTTGCCTCGGTCTGCACACTCCTTTGGGACCCCCTTTGACTTGGGCCGCATGCGGTTTGAGAGAGGCGCCTTTATCACTAGTTGCTCTGAGACTCGGCCTTGACCGCGACGAGTATACGGAGACCGAGTCAACAAGGAGGCTTTTCTTGTCGAAAACCATGAGCAGCTTGTCGCTGTTGCCTTCGCGATCGTAGCAAATTTCCCTGGGGATCCTCTCGCTGACCCTCATGGTATCCATTGTCAACACCTCTTTTTCTCTATTACGGGCTATTGACAAACAAGTACTTCTTGCATTGTTGTGATGGAAAACATGGCAGTAAGTTTAGCTCCCCCAAGCTGAAGCGTGATGCCTCCAAATCTTCTGCTCCACGAAAATTGCTAGAACGCAAAATTTTGGTTCTTGTGGAGACCAACTCCCGCGCGGGCAGCACAACGTGGAAATCGAAACCACGGTATCAATTTGGAATTTTGAAGGAGGACTAAATAATGGAAGTCTAGAGCACGGAGCTACGCAACATGTATTCCTATAGGTTGTTTATCCCCTACGGCTACGGTACCCCTACCGGTACTGTACCGCACTGGGCTGGATTCGATTGGCACCCACTGGTCCGTGCGATTCTGGTATGTGTGTGTGGCATGATGGAAGAGACGAGCCTCAACACCAGGCAGATGCACACAACACGGTTGTTCGGCACTTACTTGTACGGTAGTCTCACAAAAAGTATCCAACCAAGCTAGGCTCGTGTTGAAAGAGGGAGAACAATGCACTGACCAATCGCACCTCGAATTCCTGCTGATTTGCTGGTTTTGTCACCTTGGACCGTTCTGCCTTTACCTGGAGTGCAAACGCTTCCATTGCCCCCTGAAAGTCTTCTCGATCGTTGGAAAAGCCTTTTGGCCCCACAAACTTCCCAATCCAAATCGGTTCAGGTCGAGGAGTACCTGGATTCCTGGATGCACCATGACGCCAACGTTCAAAGTCCCCACTGTGGCATTCTTGCGGTGCAAGATATCGTAGATTTGCTGCTGGATATTCGAGGGGGGTCCTATGTGGAGCGAGTGCGTTTCTTGGGTTCGCATGATCCGGTTGTAGTTTTGATACCGGAGGGAAAAGGTTACCCCTTGCAGAAGAGAAGAGGCGTTTTGCCGCAACAACCGCAACAGCATTTCCCAAAAGTGCCCATCGGAAAGCCCCTCGACATCTCCGCAGGATACTAGTACACGAATGTTTTCCAGGTGCAACTCGGCAATGCAAGAGTGTTGCTCAAACCGTTGACAAAGCTCTCGGAGGCTGTCGAGGGAGAGTCCCAAATTGGCCAAACGGAGCTGTTTCAGTTGCGCCAGTGTAGCAACACCGGTACCAGTATCGTGGCCCTTGCGTTTTCCCAAAAGCCCGTTGTTGGTTGGAGGTGGAGTCAAAGCTTCGATCAAGTGTTGCATGCAATTGTGGCCCAAGAAGGATTCTTTGCTGGACAAGTCCAACGACAGCAAGTGCTTGGACGAACAAATGGCCTTCACGACAGTCGGATTTACTCCCGAGGGAATTTGGTCCTTTGTAAGCTTATCGGAGGCAGTGAGACATGCCTTCAGGAGGCACGTGTCCATGCATGTGCCAAAGTTTGGAAATCTTGTTCCACTCCTCTTTGGTCTTGCCGCCGTAGCCCTTGTGGCATCTCAAGGTCAGCTGAAAGGAGGCCTTCTGGAGGTTGAAACGCAGCTGGAAGAGCGCTGGTTTTCCCCACAGAATAAGGGCCCTGGAGGAGGGGAAACACGTACTCTTGAAGCTGGCGGAGGAAGAACGCATGATGTGGCATTCGCTCCAGGAGATCCATGGACAACGATCGGAGGGACCCCAGAGACGCAATTTCTTGAAAGAGTTTCGTGGCTACCTTGGACTCTTTCACTAGCAAGCCAGGGAGACCACTATAAATCACAACATGCTTGATTTCCTCGTGACGCATCTGTCCAGGTAGACGGCCCAGAATCTTTTCGGATGCACCTCCTCGACGATCCAAAACTTTGAAATGGACTTGATTCTTGTTTTCATAGTCGTTCAGCTGAATTGTATTGCTGTATTCACAGAAAGACACCCACAGGAATGCACTGGAAGATGACATGATGCTTTTGGCATGAGTGCTGTCGCAGCTGCTGCTGTGGTACCGTACTGTATGATTGTTGTGTTGATGGATCTTCAGCTTTGGCCGTTGTTCTGAGAGTTCGTGTGTTGCCAGAGGTGAGGGCCAATGACGCACGACTGAATGTCATAAAATGCGACCATTTCTTTTTCTTTTCCATTTTCGGCCAAGCTCTATTTTATAATACCAGAGCAAGATGATGATGACGATGAGCCACCACCGATGGCTCTTGACCATCCTGCTAGTAGTGGTGCTCCTGTGCAGTAGAGACTGTCAAGCAGCTACAAGTGGATCATTGGAAGAAGAGGCAACTTGTCCACAATCATCGTCGACCACTACAACCGGATCTTGTACTAGTAGGCAAGACAAAGATGTAATGGCCCAAGCGGCAGACTTTCACGCCTTTATTCGACACATGTTTGATACCATTGATGCCCATGCTGCCACACTGACCAAACCGGACTTGAGGGCACAAGAATCTCTAATCCTGACAACCTGGCTCAACTACTTTGGCATGGACCCTGCTGTCATTACCCAAACACCCGCTCCCGAAAATTGGCTGGAAACAGTGTACATGCATACCAAGCAACTGGCACCCTCGTTATTCTTCAAGGTGTGGGATGAACGGGCGAGGCCAACGCAAGAAGAAATCCAAGTGCTCTTGGCCATTGATGATTCGGCGGCGGTAGAAGCGGCCCGACAGGAACATGACTATGCCAACGTTCTCATGAATTATTTATTCATGGAGTTTCGACATCGAGGATTTACCATGGCCTTGTTGGATACCTTTTGTCGTGTCATGTTGGGACCCCTCAAGACGGTTGCCTACGCCATTCCCTCCCAACAAAATATAGACTTGATCGCCCAGTACGAACCTCTCATTGAGGTGGGTGCTGGAACCGGATACTGGAGTGCCATCTTGCAACGACAAAATGTGACCATTACACCCTACGATGCCGATCCACCCCAAGAAGAAGGGGGAATATACTTTGATCGGACTTACACACATGTCCAAAAGGGAACTTGTTTGGATGTATTTCACAAGGACAACAACAAAAACATAATGACTAATCACACACTCTTGCTGGTATGGCCCAACAATCCAGACAATGTCGACAATGCGCCCGAGTTTCATTCCTCTCGACTACCTCCAGTTTGGGATACTGCCTGTGTCCAAGCCTTTTTAGAGGCCGGAGGGACAACTGTGATTTTGGTAGCGGAACGAGAGGATAACATTCACATACTACCAAGTCATCCTCAAAATCCAACCCAACCAGATTCTGGATTGTGTGCCACTCGAGCCCTGCAAACGTTGTTACGGACAGAGTTTGATCTGGTTCATCAAATGGACATTCCAACGTGGTATTACAGTGATGATCTGACTGTCTGGGTCAAGAAAACAGAAAGCAAGAAGTGACTCTGAATTGCTGGTGGCCTGTGGCCTGAACCTAATCGATTGATTCACAAGGCGTGGCAGAAAGGCATCCAAACACAAATGAAAAGGAAAACTGGTACCGGTAGGGATCAAATGCAGCGGCGGTATCGATCTGTGCTGTGCTGCTACAGGTACCTGGTACCGATACACTTGTAGTAGGTCTCCAATAGAACACGAGGTCCGGTGGCATCAGCAACCACTTTTCAGCATGCATTAATCCCCTCTTACTTTGCATCACATTGGAAAGGAAACAAACAATAAAAGCATATCTAATTTTGACATTTACTTGGAAATATCTCTCTGTTCTGTTATACCCACTCTCAATCTCTTACTCCCGTGCAATCACACTTAGTGTCAATAATCGCGAGATCGTTTCCCTCTCAGGCAGGCTGCCTGTGTGTGTGTATCAGTGATTGCGCCTCAACGGAAGAGGAACGAGCAACACATTTTCTCTTTCTGGCCTTTCTCAAGAAAGTTTTCGTCAAAGTATGGATCTTCTAGTGGAAACGGGGACTCCAGCTCCATCTCCAATCCAGTCTCCGCCAGGTTGAAGTGGACGTCTTGGCATGCATGTTCGACAGCCTCTGGTTCCTCTTGAAATACTAGTAGTTCCTTTTCTAGCGTTTCGTCCGTCTCAACCTCCGCTGCAACCTCCAAAAGCTCTTCATCAGCAGGTTGAATAATATTATCATCGACATCGTCCAGCGTCTTCTTTTCCTCTTCTTGTTGTTGCTCTTCCTTTTGTGACTCATCTTCCATCATACCGGTAGGAGTCACTTCTCCAACTTGCTTGCATTCGTCGTCGTGCTCAGGGGTTGGCGTATTGAGAAACAGATCCAAAAAGCTGGCACGCGTCTTCTCAGTTGATCGTACGGAAGTGTCCAGGTCATCATGTTGCTCTTCATGTGAAGCATCTTCTTCCTTCAAAGCAACAGTTGGAGTTTCCACGTTCTTAGGAGAGGTTTCGTTGGAAGCAAGTTCTTCCTTCAAAGCAACAGTTGGAGTTTTAACTTTCTTAGGAGAGGTCACCTTGAACAGGCCCAGGAAGTAGGAGGTTTCAGTTTCGCCTTCAACTTTTTCATTCACAGTGGATGTGCGTTTGTCTTGGTTGTAGTTTGCGGGAGCTCTTGGCAACTCAATGGGTTCGCTGGGACCCTTTTCTTCAACAGTAGTTTGTTTATTGACGTCATCGTTGGGAGGCTCGATCTTAGAAGCAGGAGCAGTTTCATTGGATTGTAGCGACTTTTCGCTTGGAAGGTCATCGTTGTTGGCCACGGGGGAGGCATGTTCATTGGAGGGTGGCTCAGTCTTTGCTACTAGTACTTTGGAAGGGGAGGATGGAGTTTCATTGGGAGATTGGTGGGCTTCCGTTCGCTGGAAGAATCTGCTGAAAAAGCCTTGGTCCTTTTCTGGAGTGGAGGTTTGCGCCTTCACTGGTGCATCAAGGAACTTCTCTTCGGGCTTCAACACTGCAGCTGTCTCATCTGTTAACGAAGTGTCCATCTTGTTGCTGCTGTTCTTTGTCTCTTCTACAGAGGGATTTGTCTTCATTTCTTGTACATCGGGCTGCAATGTCTTCGGAGTTGTAGAGGCGTCATGGTCTTCGGCAACTTCGGTGGCGTGGACGTCATCACTCTCAGAGTCTTTGGTTTCTTTTGTGAGATCGACCTGGTTTTCCTCCATTGTGTTGAAGAATAAGTCAAAGAAGCTACTTTGTCGCCTTTCGGTGGAAACAAGTTCATTGACTTCAGCACTTGGTTCGTCGCTGGCCACTGCAGTAGCCGAATTCTCTTCTGGGGTGATATCTTGTATCTCCTCGATAATGCCCAAGGAAACATCATCTTCCTGGTCTTCCACCACAGACATCTCGTCTGTTGATTTCTCAAACATGGAGAGGAAAGACGAACGCTTTTGAAAAGGCTTTTGGGGGATCACCTTGGCAAAGCCACTTTCGTCCTCACCGTCACTGTCTTCATTTTCCACAGGCGTAATGAGCTCCTTTGGACTGGATGTATCGGACCCTGAAAAATCGCTCTCGCTTTCAGGTTCGGTCAGATCGTGAGGGATTTCCTTGGGAGATTCAGCATTGGCAAACGACTTCATAAAGTTGCCAAAGAAGAAGCCATTGTTGGACTGCTTGGTTGGTTCATCTGGGATAACCACGCTCATGGTTGCGCTACTAGTACGATGAAACACAGACATGGAATGGGATTTATTATAGGAATGCATGCAATCGAAAGCCTGAAATGAAGAAGATAAATTGATGTCCAAGGGTAACAATGATGATGTGAATGGGGAATAAATTGGAGTAGTCTATCTATTTAGTATTTGTTTTCCAGTGACCAGTGACAGTCGAGAGAAACTTCCGAGAAAAGCATCGCTGACGTAACTGACGTAACGGATATCTTGCAAAGGAGCAGCTGTGCGCCCCAGCTTCAACACTGGTTCAACGTCCTCTTCAATTCTCTCTAATGCCTTCTTACTTAGAACTAAATTTTTTCAAGACATTTAAGTATCTTCGGCGGCCGCGGGCCAGCCGGCCGGGCAGGATCGAAGATTCTGCTGGTGTTGCCACCGTCATGCTCATCCATCTTCCTGCAAATCGATGCTGCATCATCCTCTCGCGAAAGATCGAGTTACGTTTTCGTTTTCACTTTTGTTGGAGATTTGTTCGTTGTGAAAGAAGAAGTGTCAATTGTGTTGAAGGTAAGAGCAATGGTGCTGTATGATTGATGGACATGAAGATCATGGCATGAGAAAGGCACAAAGGCGGCTGTGGTCAGAGCTTGGTCCTCTTTTGCTCTGAATCCAGGGAGCAGAAAAAACGTTTTCTGTGACACCCAGCAGAATTTCACCAGTCACATCGACGATCTGGTGTACAATTTGGAGTTGGTTGCCGGTTCTTTTTCGAGCACCGGCCTGTGCCTTCATTCATTCCTTGTGCTACAGACTCGACTCCGCCACTTTCCCTCAACAAGGACCGCATCCCGATTTCTCATTTTACCAAATTCTTGTTGTTCTGTTTTTCTTCTTCACCAGATGGATTCCTTGCCACCGAACGATCCCAACCGCAACCAGCCCGGAGCTCCTGCCAAGGATGTTCCTCATGACGGAAGCCCTCGCAACCGACGAGGCGTCAATGCCCGCGGCGAAATGGAAGTCTTTGGTGACATGAGCGACGGAAACGTGGTGGTCGTCATGTTCCTGGTGGGTGTGGCGAGCTGGTTTCTGCGCGAACGGTGTGTCTGCTAAGGCCTGTGGATGGCTTGACCGACTGCAGCAATAATACACTTCCCACTGTTGGTTGGTTCGTTCGTTCGTTTTGATGGAGCTGCTTCAAATTTAGAGAAAAACAACAAACTGTTTGGTGACACGTGATGGCACACGCACTCATTCAACAAACATTACTGCATATACTATTACTCTGTGGAGACGTCATGGCGGCGCACTGCGCTAGATGAAACCACTTTCTACACGATATTCTGGGGCATTGCTACTTTGATTTGAACGTATTTCTATAACTAAATCATTTGTACACGTCGCCAACTCAACAGTTCAGATTAGATGTGTGGTAGTGCTTTGTAGCAGGTACTCGTGCCATACTAATATACTAGCTAGTGGTGGCAGTCGGAACGTTCCGGTAGCTGGCGAGGAACAAAGAGCCTTGGTGAGGCGAGCAGCCGCTATAGGGGAAGCACTGGGCACCCGAGCGACGTTTGGCTCTATTTTGATGCAAGCTCCAGAGTAACTAAAGCTGAACGGCCCCCGACATGGCCTCTATGGTCCAATGTATGGTACTAGTATGGTACAAGATATCGGCAGATGACGTAAACCGTGATAAACTAACTTTTCAATAAGCTATGCACTCCGCTATCCGCAAGTGTCAAAGGGGGGCAACCTTGCGGCATAACATTCCATCTTCTCCCTACCGCATTACACATCCCCAAAAGAGCACCAGACACCTGGGCAGCAATCATTTTCGCAAACCAAGTTTCCTGCACAGTCCATCCAGACAAGTATAGATTCGGCATCACAAATCTCCTGTGGAATCGTCCCGCTGAAGAAATTCGCGTTGATCTGTAGGTTTGCTGTATCAATTACGAACATCAAAGGAAGAGACACTTAGCTCAATGTGCACCAGGATGTGACCAGTAGCCAGTAGGACAGGAAGACACGCGACAAAGAGGCAATGATATTCACGGCTTGACTTACTCAATGACTCCATCCCGACAAGAGCTTGGCTTGGGATTTGGCCTCCAAAGAGATTGTTCTCCAAATTCAGGTTCACCACGTTCTGCAACAGTCCAATTTCAGAGGGCACGGAGCCACCAATTGACGTTGAGACAATTGCCATGTAGGTGAGGGAGGAGAGCTGGCCAATGGTAGATGGAAGGGAGCCTGTCAATTGGGGTGCAAACGACACAATCATTTGACCTACAGACCAGGAATACAAACGCCAAACAGGTCAGGCAAGCAACGGGGTATTGTAGGCATTGCAACCATTCGATCGAGCTTACCCAATCTTGTCCAGGAGCCAATCTCGGATGGTAGCGATCCTATGAGTTGGTCTCCTCCTGCCACCATAGTGGCTGTTGTCCATATCCAAAGTATACAGATGCATGTTAGACTGGCAAATGCCTCTACAGGGTTCGACCGTGACTATAGGAAGAGTCACTCACTAAGCTTTGAGAGCAATCCAATCTCTGTAGGAAGGGATCCATTGAAACCTGTCCCTAGCATAGCCAGTTCGCCTGGACAGACGAGTAACGAGAGCAGTCTGAGCTTGTGAGAAACCAGTCTAAAGACCGAAAGAAGTCCACGTCTTCACCAAGACAAGTGCATGTTATTATTGTATCTGGACTTACGCAGGTTGGTGCAGAGCCCAATTTCAGTCGGAATGATACCGGAGATAGCAGCGTTTCTGTCGACGACAAGACTTCTGCAATTAAGGCAAGCAGGTATAGTGTCAACACTGAGACGTTCGTACCCAAAAGACTGCATGAACCGGCCTGCCTGCTTACCGAGATTGGGCCAGTGTTTGATAGAGTGGAAGAACTCCCCTGAGAGCCGGTTGTTTGACAATACAATCTCTCCTAATGCAGTCATTCCATTTTATTAAGATCACACAAAGCCGAAGAAGATCAAGTTTCAGGATTTTGAAGTTGCAAACCAGCATGCACTTGGTTGTGTAACCACTACTTACGGAGTTCTGTGAGCTGTGCCATTGTTGCTGGCAAGGTACCGGACAAGTGAGTGTTGGACACGACCAGGGCATTCAAAGCTGTAAGCTTGCCGATGTCATTGCTCAACGAGAAAGCAATTTCGTTGTGGGATAGTGCGAGGTGTTCTGGAAAACGAAGGCGAGCATCTGGTTATAAGAAGCAAGGGCGAAGGCTAGCTAGCACGGGGTCCATGCAGCCACCCAATCACTAATCACTTACCGAGGTTTGTCAGCCGGTGATAGATGGAATGAGGAATGTGTCCTTCCAGATGGTTTCGGGATAGATCTAAGTAGGTCAGGTCGGTCAGCAGGCCTAAGAATCATGGAATGATAGCATCACATATCAGCAAAAGCTGGGTCAGACTTGGCATGTCTTTTCAAGCACGCTTTGTCAAGGGATACCCTTACCAATTTCAACAGGAATTTTGCCACCAAGCTTGCGATAATCTAGATTCACAACGTTCACCTTGCCCAAAACTTCATCACATCCAATGCCCTGGAAATGACTGTGACATTCATCCACATCCACCATTTCCTCCCAGGGAACAATTCCACGCCATGTGGCTCCATTGGTACTGAAAGCCAGAACCATAAGGGCGTAGCGCTGTACAAGTTTCCAATGGAACGTTTCGTTGTTGGATGAGTAGTACAGCTGAGAAGAGTTCATAATGTCACCTTCTGCAGCCAAGGTGTCTGTGGGAATCTGGATGGTTTGGTCTTGGTACACGAGCCACTTCAGAGCTTGTGATTGAGGTGAATTGGGGTTCACGAAGGCAGATGGTTCCGATACTCGAGCCAGAGAACTACGGAACAGGATAAAGCGGCGTCGATCAATGAAGTCCTGACGACCATTAGCAGAGGAGGGGACCTTGGTAGCCGACTCTGCTACCGTTGTTGTATCTTCTGCACTGGGGTATGGCAGGAACCGAAAGAGGAAGATGGCCACAAGAGAGGACACAATGACTATTGACGCTAGAATGGCCCAAAGATGCTTCCACACAGGCAGCAGACATCGGCGGAAACGGGCTCTTGACGACTCATCAGGACCTCTAGTGTTTCCTGGGACACTGTTCATCGTCGACGAAACTTTTGAATGCAGCTTGTTGAACGGACGAGGGTTATTCTTTCAGCAAGGAGCAGATTGAAGCGTACAGATATTTCTTTGTTGTTGTCCGCCACCGGTGTAGTGTGAAGAGGTAATAAGGTATCAAAAGTTTGTGGCATGTTGTGGCGGCCTCTTGCTTTCTTCCTTCGTTTTTTGGTCTTTTCATTTCTGCTTTAGAATTCCGGAACAAAAGATCTCGACCGTGGCCACTAAGCTACAATAGCTCACCATGTTGTTGTGCCGCTATACTGCATGGTGCCTCTAGCTAGCTACCGTACAGTACGCGTACCGGTACCGGTACCCATATCGACAGGATCTCAGTTGGTTTGCCTTGCTAAAGCTCCATCTGCAGCTCTACGACAGCATAGCTAAGCACTACCAGTACGCAAATAAATGGTGTTCACTGCGTATACTGGTATAAGCCGATGAAATGAACGAATATGGCCACAGCCTGGTCCTTAACCAGCCGAGAGCGGCAAATGACACATCGTTTCTTATTTTGTTTGACGGCCTACTAGTATACCTGCGCCTTCATCTCTGTAAGCTTGATGTTGTCGTTGCACTTCATTGCTAGGTACAGTCGTACCGTTCCATACCGTACCGGTATTGTAAAATTTGCGTACTGGTATTGCCTGCAACGTTGGGGTGAAGCACCGGCAACGGGACAGCCGATGTGCTGAGGAGGACGCTCATTTTAAGCACTGTTGATGCCTTGTTCTCCTCCTACCGGTAGAACTTGCTGGAAGAATGTAGAGTCTTCCACAGTCCACATTGGCGACAGCCCAGGGAAGGCAGCGGGGCGCATCGGTGATTTCCCAGCCAGGTCGCGAGACAAGCATGGGCTTGCAAGCCTTTCGGTACCCGCCCCTCCCTCTTGTTTGAGCTCAATCTGCGGTGACAAGCCCATTGCATCCACATTCGGAGTCCCGAATGCTCCCAGGTTTGCGGATTGAGGAAGATTGGGACAGATTTTGGACTGAAAGAAGTGCGGCAGTTCTCTGGCCTCTTTTGCGGTGAGATTCAACTCCTTGAGATCTTCGATAGAACCGGTCTCTGCTATTTTCTTTCGAGCTGCAAACTGTTGTCGCTCCAATGCCGTAAGGTAGCTGCCGTTGCTCAGTTTCCCTCCTTTGATCCTGGACAGACACAGGCCCAACTGTTCCAATTCAAGAGACGTGGGCTGGCCCAACTTTGGAGCATCTTCCAACTCGGGCCCATCCCTCGCCTTGCGTTTGATTGCCGACGTCGGGGGGAGAGAAGTCGTGTACGAAGTAACGAAAAGAGGCGGCATCGTAGGTGACCGTGTAGTAACAGCAGGTGGCGGAAGCTGAGGCGTCAGGTCAATGAGATCAGCAACTGTTTCGTCTGTCGGTTTTGCCAGAACGGGTGCGCTTGGAGCTGATTGCGCTCGCATTGGCAAAGATGGTTTGGGTGCTTTCGGAGCTGGTTGAGCTCGCATTGGCAAAGATGGTTTGGGTGCTTCAAGAGCTGGTTGAGCTCGCATTGGCGAAGATGGTTTGGGCGCCTCTGTTGGTCGTGCTGCTTTAGTAGTCATCGCCATGACAGTCGTTGTACAAGTAGCCGTGCCAGTCGTTGTACCTGCAATAGTGTCTGCACGGGTAGTTTGGGTTTGGGTTCGATCCTTCCGCACAGTTGGCACTGGGGTCTTGACTTCCACCTTTTCGGCGACGGCATCTGGCACACTCAGTTTGATTCGGGTCTGTGAAGGCAGTCGCCGGCTGCCTCCTTTCATCGTGGCCGGTGTCATCTCCGCGATGCGCAGCATGCAGTCATCCAGGTTTTCCGTGGGAATGTTGTATCTACCAGCATTGTCTCTCAGGGCATTCGTGCTGATGTTGAGATTGTCGACCAAGTATTTTTCTACGCGGCAGCGCAAGAAAGAGTTCCAATGGTTCTTGACAGCATTGTCTGTTCTTCCTGGAATGGCTTTTGCAATCGTGGACCATTTGTTCCCGAGCTGGAGATGCATCTCGACAATCTTGCGGTCTTCCTCGCAAGTCCACTTTCGATTCTTTACCACTGCCGGGTCCAGATGGTTGTGCCATCGCTCTCGACATTGCTTTCCGCTCCGACCTGGAATGGCCTTGGAATGAGCTGTCCAGCTCGTGGCGCCTTGAGTAGAGAACGGAAGAATTGAGGTTGACCAAGAGAACGAGAAGACGAGCAACCACGAGAAGTCACCGAAAAACAACCTCCTCTACTGGACTCACCATTGACTCGAACGAGTTCCATCAACTTGTCGTCTTCTTCTGTTGACCAGGGCGTGAAAATTGTTTTGATTCCAGTCAAAGCTTCGTATCGAGTGCGACATTCCGCAGCATTGCGCGTAGGAAAGTGTCGCTTCGCAATCCCTGGCCAATCCATCTTTGGCTGTTGACCCTTGACCGCTTTGCTCTTCTTTTTGGGACCAACCTTGACGGATTTCGCAAGCAGTAGATCATCCTATGACACAGCACAACGGAAGCTTGAGCATGCATCAAAAGGAGAACGAATGAACGATGAAATGAAACCACGAGCGAACTTGCCTCGGCTTTGGCCCACGGACGCGTGACAACGTGACCTTGAGCAATATTTGGATTCGTCTCGACCAGAACCTTGCGCTTCTTGAGTGGCTTTTGACCCGATCGTGTCATTGTTGTCTTGCTCTTGGGTGGCTTCTCTAAGGACGACACTCTCTTTTGAGTGTGCGGTGTTGTTTGTCTCGTCGCGGAAAAATGAGGACGTTTTCTGTTTTCGGTTGGAGGAAAGCACCTTAGAGCTAGGGGTTTTAGTCACGTTTTATTATTGACTCAAACCAAGAAGCTTGGATCTTCCGCCACTGCCAAAGCTGCGGCTACACCGATCGACCCAGTCGACGAAGCCTTGGCATTTTGCAGCAGCAACAGAGGTCAAAGAGTCGAAGGGAAGAAGGCAAAGCAAAGATGGCGGCAACATCAGCACAAGCAGCGCCCGCTCCGGTGGCACAAGCAACGGCCATGCCCCCTGGTCCGATTTATGTAGATACTCAGCACGAAGGTAGGAATATCAAAGAGATTGTGGCAATGCCGGTTTTATTGTCATTTTCACGGTCTCACCTTTGGCACTTCTTTTTCCCTTTCTCTCTTGCTTGACGAAAAGATCTGGTCCATGACGCCCAGTTGGATTATTACGGGTGCAAACTCGCAACGTGCTCTTCTGGTAAGCCTATGGATACTTCACGTGCGTATTGTTTTAAATTTTGTTTGTGTCCCTCATTCCTTTGTTATTAATTCTTGTGGTTGAACGACTCGACTCGTTATTTTGCGTTTTATTTCGACTCGACTCTATGCAATAGACCGTACGGTAAAGATCTACAACGTGTCGGAGACTTCGTACGAATTGTCGGCGACTCTCCAAGGGCACGAAGGGCCTGTATGGGGAACCGCCTGGGCGCATCCAAAATTTGGTGTTATTTTGGCATCGTGCTCGTTCGATGGCTCTGTGTTGATCCACCGCGAAGTGAGCCCACGAGAGTGGACTGTCATCCATGCGGCACGCCATCTTCACGAAAGTTCCGTGAATGCCATTGCCTTTGGTCCTCATGAAATTGGTCTCATAGCGGCAGCTGCCAGTTCAGATGGTCGCGTGAGTATCTTGACGCTGCAACCCAACAATACCTGGTCGGTCGAGTATGTGCAGGACAATTCTCTGGGTGTCAATGCCGTCAGCTGGGCGCCTCACGGTGCCTACTCGGACACTGCCAATCCCGACAACATTATGCCTCCTCGTCTCGTCACGGGAGGCTGTGACAACAGAATTCGATTCTGGACCCAATCTGCCGAAACGGGACAATGGGTGGAAGACGCCACGGCCAAAATTGACAAGACCATTTCCCACAGTGATTGGGTCCGAGATGTGGCGTGGGCGCCATCCATTTTCCCCAATGTCAATGTCATTGCGTCTTGCTCGGAAGACCGAACAGTCCTCATTTGGACTCAGAACGGTCCGGATGCCGAATGGAAACCAATTTTGCTCCACAAGTTCGATGCCCCTGTGTGGAGAGTCAGTTGGTCCGTCACGGGGCACATGCTTGCCGTTTCGAGCGGTGATAGCGATGTGACGCTTTGGAAGGCTACATTGGATGGAAATTGGACTCAGATGAGCAGCGTGGAGGAACAGCAAGGATAGATTGGATGGACGAATAGGTGCCAATGACAATAGAGAAGTAGTAGTAGTACCGGATGTTAACGCAATTAGATTGATTGTGGGACAAAAAATGTACAATCGTAGTACCTGTAGCTACTTCAGCTAAAAGAGATCTGTTCGGTACCATGGATGTTATAACCTTCGTACACATCACTCATTCCTTCGTTGTCACGGCCATCCCAAAACCATTCGAGCAGCCACTGAGCTTCGCAACCTTAGCTAATCAGGCAACAGTGTTGGTTAAAAACCATGTATGTTTTAGTATATAGTATGTAGTGGTGGCACTTTTAGATTACATTTGTTCGATTTCCGGATTGATTAACCTTCCTTCCCCTCAAGATCTACTGAGCAGCAAAAACCTTACATCGAATCAGACCTATCGCTCCGTGAATCCGTGTGTTCGGCTCGTTCAGGGGTCCCTCCAGAGAGCGAGGGGATGTTGAGAGCTGGGTACAGGCTCTGGTACATGCTTTGATACAAAGCGCCAACTGTCTTCTTCAGGGGCTTTGTCATGGTCAAGCCTGTGTGATTACTCATCCCTCGAAAGTTAGCAATGGCATGACGGTGATTTCCAAGGTACTCATGAGGGTGCGCATGGGAACTTAACAATGCCATGTGACCACTCATACCCGTTTTAAAGTCCACGCCTCCTCGACATTCCTCTCGTCCATGAAGCTCTCTCCATGCTCTGGCACCCGCACTCATGGCACTTGGCGAAGGATGAGACGCCGACGGGAATAGTGTCGTCGCGACGTTTCCTGGTATCCTACATGTTGTAGCTTCGATATCTGTCTTCTGTGCTGACGCTGTTCTTACAGTGGGTGGTGAGATACCTTGCTGTCGACGCAGCTTGTGAAATTCCGTTTCGTCGCTTCCGGTCCCTGATATTGTGTCAAACATATCATTGGCAAAGCAAGCGAATCCTCGGGCAGCAGAGGTGAGTACGTGCGGAGCAACTTGAGAGTCCTGCCTCTCTTCTTGTTGTGGGTGTTCTGGTAGCTTTGGTGGTTTTACAGGTCCATGGTTGCTCACGTTGGAAAGCGATGCGTCCGTGCCTTGTCGAGTTGGCATCTGATCTCTTGCTTCGTGCTGTTGCCTGTATTCGGCAACTTTTCTCTCGCTAGGAGCTTGGGAGAATGTGTCTGCAACGATCACCGTGAGGTCGTCATCCGTCATCAGAGATATCTGCAGATCATTCATTAACCTAATAAACATGTTGTCAACTTTGCTTTGTTCCAGGCGCAGTCGCTTCCTTTGTGTGGAGAGCGACCGCAGCATAGCTTCTAGCTTGCATGCCCGATCGACAGAGTTGCCAACTAAGACAGGAGGAAACAAGTTGTGTTGGTGGTGAGATCCCAAGAGCACCAGGATGGCTAGCACTGCCAGTCAAGCCTCATTGCTTGGTTTGGTTTCGTTTCGTACCTTTTACAAGTTTATTGTCATCAGCGTGCACATATCCGTACCCCCTTGCTAACTTTGCCCATCCTCCTTCAATGGCAACTACCTGTACACGGTCACCACAGCTGAGAATCAGCGGCGGTTGCTCCTTCATCCTATTCTCCTTCAGTTCGTCCTCGGTTGAATCTACGTCCATTTTCTGGTCCAAGTGAAAGTATCTGACCAGTTTATCCACGTCTTCATCGGAAGTATGTTGACTGCTGTCCTTGCGGAATGCATCTTCAGCATGTTTGGATGGGCGTGATGGGTATATCGACATTCCTTTGGGGTCTGTAACGGCATAGGTACCGGCTACCGAAACTGCCATGGTAGTTCCTAGTTTGATTCTTTCCTCCTCCAGATCGTCAGCGTCGACCACAGCCGAGATTGAATTGTCATCAGGGGACATCAGAACGTGGTGATGGGCATCGTCAAATAGTCCTTCGCTCTTATGGTTTCTCGGTGATGCTTCACTCTTACTCGTAGCATCTTCGGTAGCCAGCTCGGTTGCTTCGATCAGTGATAGCAACACCACGTTTTTTGGAAGAGGTAGACGCTTCTTGACTGGCACCATTGGAGGAGATGGAGGTTGTCGTGGAGTTCTGTAGCTGGGTGTTCTGGTGTTGGGTTGGTTCTGCGGTCTGGGGACTGAAATGAAAAGAGGGGTGCGGCACTCCATGCACTTGTCCAGACGGTCGCCACAGAGATTGCACACATAGGTGTGCCCACAGGGTAGCACAACTGGATATCTCTCGTCTGGATGGAACTCCTCAAAGCATATCATGCAGTGAAAGGAGAAAGCAGATTGCGACGCCATGCTATCAAGTGTATACGATCGATCAGAATTCTCTCGTCTTCGGCCTTACACTCCTGCCTGCCGGTTGACATACGGGTTCGGAGTAGGGGCGACTCTTGCAACTCTCGGTGCAACCCTCTTTGTTCGGAGAGATATCTATCTACAAGCCTGATAGGATGATACCTCTCTTGTATGCAGCAATTCTATTGGCAATGATGTTGCTGAAGCTGTTCTGTTGGTGGACGATACACTTATTCGTTTCGGTTTCTCCTTGGGTAACAGATCTTCCTCTTGTTGCCATCAACAGCTTCACCGCGCATTGCACGTCTCTTCAACAACTCCAAGCAGGCTCACCTGTCCGTTTGATGAGGCCAAGCTGAAACCGATACTCCTCTAAGAACAGAGAGGAAAGAAGGCCGAGTTGGCTAGACTTTCCCCGACCGGGGCGGCGTGCTCCATTGCGTTTCAAGTATGAAATGAAAGTCACGATTTTGTCGTAGTTTTGTCGTCTAGAGAACAGTCAAGGAATGAAATGCACCTCTTAATTAAATAAGATGAAATGAAAGTCACAATTTTGTCGTAGTTCTCGCATGGAACAATTTAGGGGCAACTGTGCATGCAGATAGTCTCTGTGAGTGAAAAATGGCGAAACTTTCATCGCGCCGGCGACACTAAGTAATCGAATTTGGTGCAAATCATTTAGACACTCCATTCTTTATGTTGTATCCAGCCTTTAGAGGTTCATAAGTTCATAACATGGAGATTAGAGCCTGACATTTCGCCAACAATCTAACTAACACATAATCACAGTGGCGTCTCTGACCTTTGAAGCTCTTGGTTGTTTCGCCTTCCAAGGAAGAGATTCCTTCAAAAGAGACTGAACTTGGCTTGTAGTTGGCAGTCGGCCAGCTGCAAACTTGTTTGTCGACGGGCAGATAATAGTTAGTTAGTTGGAGAAGCGCAGGATCATACTTTCTTCCTGCCAGGATGGAGCCAGACAAGGGGAAAACGCAAGATGGCTTTGCCGACCAATGCGTGGGAGTTTTATCAGATGATGCCACTGCCGTTACAGGAAATCAGCATTCGGGAGGGCTAAGTGCATTCAACAGCGATGCATATGATACCAATCTAGATGGGTATGCCGTGTTGCCGGAACCAACACCTCAAGATGCACATGTTCCTGCCCCAATCTCTACAACCAACTCCGAGACGGCGGCAAAACCACCGGTGGATACTGCACCCAACAACTTGGAGACCATGAAATCGTCGCCATCCTCATTTGCTCAGCTCGTCAAATCATGGGAAACGTATATTGCAGATGCCCAAAATACGGATGCCTTTCAACCAATGCAAATGTTGCAGAGTATCCGTACCGGCATGTGTGGTACAGGACACGAAATGCATCGCTTGACATTGGCCCCGTCAACAGAGCTTGCTGGATATGCTGCTTCTGAGGGGCAGGATCCCTTTGAACCTATTATTCTCAGGCACACTCATTCCACACCCCTTCAGTACAGGCCGTCGTTTTTCACAGACTATGATGGCAGCAGTGGGATGCCACCACCCTCTCAGTTGGATGCTACTCGACGATCCAGTTCCACGCCTTCGCGAGGCTCTGCTTTCCAACAATTTCGTTCGGACAGCGCTTATGGAGCCTACATACGGTCGGGATCAAACTTTAGTGGTTCGGATGGACGAAGTGCCTTTGGCTTTCCGCTAAACAGATCCATGTATAGCGGCGTTAGTACAGAATCCAACCTCAGGACGAGCTCTGCTTTCAACCCAGTCCCTTCTTCCTTGTCAACCACCCAAGAGGATTCTCCACAAGGAGAGGCTACAGCCATTGAAGTCATGGATCTAGGTACATGTAGAGCGGAGGCGGATGACTCGGCTAATAGTGGTGAGGAGTCGGGTGAAATTGAGGTGCAAATCAATACGAAGATTGAGGACAACACTGATCAGACAAAGCCAAAGAAGAGCGCTGCTGCAAGGGCCGCCAGATTCCTGTCAGATGTTGGTGTGCTACGTCGAAAGAAAAAAGGACTACGTAGTACCATCTCGACTGTGATCTCGACTGACACAACGGCTGCTAACAAGAAGGCCAACGCTACTACGTTGGACGCGACCCGTGATGATGAAAAGGAGCAATCCAAGGAAGCAAATGCTATGTCACAAGATTCAGGCTCGAATTCAAACAACACCAGCGAAGGTCAAAAGGATAGTGGATACGATCAACCTTCAGCGCCAATGTATCAACAGCTTGACTCGGACGTGGACGAGGAATACGATCGATATCAGAGCATCGAGAACTCTGGGGGTGACTCGGACGATAGCCCCAGGACTGTCCCGTCTCCAGATTATCACCCAATTGTAGATGATCGCTCTGTTGTGGCCTCGAACTGCCAAGGCAACAAGAATGAGAACAGGCGTCCAGCGGTGCGCATCCAAGTGTCGTCCAGCATCTCGGTTATGCCGACTTTGGCAGAAAGGATTGATCGACACTCAGAAAATGCGTCTAGTCCCAATCCTGGAGAGCTAGTGAACGATGATCCATCGGCGACGCCCACATCGAGCACTGGGTCCCCCGGAGGCGCAACCAGGTCGTCAAATACAACGTATACATCTGGCCACACGACGCAAGCCACGTCAACATCCGGTACTACCGCTAATGGCTCTTCGCAGATATCAGAAACTGATCGGGAAGTGATGGAGACAATCAAAGAAGGGAAAAGGAGGAGACGTCAGGAAGACGGCAAGAGTAACTCTGATACCGGCGGCGTAACTATCGATTCGTCTTCTTCAGGAAGCTCGACAACAAATGGATACGTAGCATTGACAGGCAGTCCAGGGCCGTTGAGAGATGGTGCCAATGTTGTGGCTGATCGATTCTTCACGAATCCTCGGTCTACCCCAACGCAGGGAGGCGAACCATTCTGCAGCAGCAGTATGAGTACATCCGCAGTAGTTGACGGTGCAGCTGGAGGCATGATGCATCGCGCCAGAGTCTCGTCCTTGACTCGCAAGAGCACAAACAACGGATCGCCCACTAGCTGTTCGCTCAACAGCATCGAAGAGACTCCGCCAACATTCGTCTCATACCTGGACAGGCAAGATGCTTCTGATCTTACGTCTCTTCGAGAGGCAACAGAGGCGTCATGCAGCCGTGGCGACAACGAAGAACGGGAGGATTCACCGGCTCAAATAGTTGGATACCCAGCCATGTTCCTTGGAGATGCAAAAACCGCTGATGGACAAGAGAATGCAATGTCTGTGTTCCCAATTGTCCTACCAACGACAGAACATCTCTACAATATTTTGGGCAGATTCCGTTCCCGCCCTCCTAGGAGCCCAGCCAAGGGTTTGCGGGCAGTTACGCCAACTCCACCTCCACCACGCCTGGGGTCGCCAGTGTTTCAGCATCAGCTTTCGCCGCCGCGCAAGATCATTGACCACCGAGTGGAAACCAACGTGTCCCGACCATACGTTGTGAGAACCAATCCGTCGACTCACAGACTGGTCGTAGTGTCTCCCGGATCGTATGTTCGACCGACTACACCATTGCTCTGCATCCCGGTGGGAAATCCCAACTACAGTCCAAACCAGAACAGGCCACAAGCGGCGTTGCCGCTGCGACAGCCCAGCCCTTATGGACAGGTTGGCACCGCCAGAACATACGAGGAGCACAGTATTGAGATTTTGAAGAAGGATTCAAAAGACGAGATGATAGGTCAGCGGTTTGCCTCTCCTGAAACCGTCGCCAGCGCTAACTGAGAGTGGAAATCAACCAAGAAGAATGTGACTGTTCAAACGAGTGAAACAGAGTTGAAAATGAACGAACTCGGCTCTTTGCTTGTTCTGTTTGTTTTGTTTGCTTGATACAAGTGTCCCTGTACTGTATGGTTCTTTGAAGCGAGTGTCTTGCACATTGTAATCCATGTAACATAAAAGATAAAAGGGGTTAAAAGCAATGGAAATGAAATGAATGGAAACCAACAGCTGTTCTTAAAAGAAGAAGCGGCCATTTAAAAGAGTGGAGTCGTCGCATTTACTATGGCAGCTACCGATACCAGGTACCCGTAGAACTCAATAGCTCATGGAGGTTGCTTCCATGTTTGCAGCGATGGGGGGCTGCCAGCACCTCCGGATGTGGCTTGTGGCCGGATTGAGGGCAATGCGGTGTTGGGGATAGTTCAGAGTAAAGGACTCCATGGTGAAACAGCCGAAGTGAATGATCCTACTCGAAACGCAGGCTCGCTGCTCCTCCGGTGTTCTAAATCCGTTCTTTGCGCTCTAGAGATCTGAAACACTTGCCTCGGATGACTTGGACAGGAGCTCGTGTTTGCATACCGGTACGGTGAAAGATATGTACTGTACTATAAATAGTTACTCTGCGTACTGGCTGGGCCCACATGCCGGCGACCTTGACGGAGGGATCATGGCTCACTCGACACTGTACCGTATCGTTCAACGGTTCATCATGTTCTTGGCAGGAGGGGTCTCCTAAACATTGCGGCGACGACGTGTTGTGGTTTTCGTAGCCTTAGTATTCCGTCCACCGCCGCCATGAAATAGCTCATCTGCCATGCGCTGCTGGGCATCGATTGCGCGCTGCTGCTCTTCTAATGCACGTTGCTGGTCTGATTCCTTCGGTAGAACTGCTCGCATCTCGATTCGCGACACACGAGGCCCCTTGATGATGGAGTTCTTTCGGAACCGCTTGAAGTCCTTTCCTCCTTTGGACTTTCGCGAGAACTGCTTGCTGCTTCGAGCAGGGTCGTAAGGAGTGACGATCAAGGGCATCACCACGGTCTCGGCGACGGCAGGCAAGTCCAATCCTTCATCCAACTTGTCCAGCAGCTCGTGTTTCGGTCGGAGATATGCTTTTCGATTCTTTGAGGGAGCCGCAATGAACCATCCATCCTTCGTTTTCTCTAGCTTTGCACTGCCGTCACCTGTGATTGGGGCCTGGTAGGACCGTGGCTCCTTTTTCTTCTTCTTCGGCTCCTCACGTCGCTTCTTGCCTCGTCCCGGAGACAGTTCCGAATCTACATTATCATTGAGATTTGAGCCACTGATGTCCATAGAGTCTTCTTCCTCGACGGAAGGCAAGGCATCTTCCCGCCCCGGCGACTGGCTGTGCCGTTCTCGCGGTTTGTCTGCGACATCGCTGCGAGCTTTTTTTGCACGGCGATTGTCGTCCTCCTCTTCCTTGCTGTCGACACTTCTGCTGCGGGATTTCTTTGCTCGCTCACCCTTTTCATCCTTGTCATCATTGGCTCGGCTTGGAGCTTTCTTGGCTGCACGCTCATCCGTTTCGTCCTTGCCAGTGCTGGCAGCAACTTTCTTTGTAGGAGGTGGGTCCTCTTCGTCCACCTTATCATCCTCGTTAGCACTGGCGCGAGCTTTCTTTGCCGGCGGTTGGCCCTTATCTTCCTCTTTGTCATTCTTACTAGCCTTGCTTTCACCAGTTTTCTCGGCCGGAGGCGAGACCTCTTCTTTGTCATCCTTCTTATCATCTGCTTCTTTGCTAGTTTTCTCGGCCAGCACTTCCTTTTCCTTCGTTGTGCCACCACTTTTATCAGTATTGGATGTACGTGATTTCTTGGCTGGTGGTGGCTTCTTTTTGATATCGTCATCATCACTGCTGTCATCGCTATCCGAGCTTTCCACGGGCTGATACTTTCGACGACGACGAGTACCCCCTGGCGTTTGAGTTTGACTTGATTGCGTGGCTTTCCCTTTGCTGTCTGGCTTCTTCTCGGTTATGGTTTGAGAGGTAGGTTTGTCCGTTTTGTCATTTTCCACGTCCTTGTCTTTTGTTTCGGCTTTGTCGCTTGCGCTTTCGATCGGCTTTTCTTTGGTAGCTACATCTTTTGGCGAATCCTTCTCCCCTGATTCCTTTTCCTCGTCGCTGGAAGGCGCCTTTTCTTTCTGCTCTGATTCCTCTGACTTTGATGATGGCGGTTTCTCCACCTCTGTTGCTGTTGTTGTTTCGACCTCTAGTAGTTGCTTCCCGGCAATGACACGATCGGTTTTGTCGTCTTTCAATGGTTCTTGTCGACACAACAAAATGACAATGTCTTTTTGTTTGAGGTGTGGGATGCCCTGATCTTTGATCCAGGTTCTGATTTTGGAGCGTCCCGATGCGGTAATGGAGAAGACCCCATCCTTTTTGGCCGGATTCTTGAGCACTGCTTCAATTTGTTTCTTGGCCTCGCTTTCGTCGCGGTTGTAGACTTGTATCACGGATCCACCGGCGGCTCGCACAATGCTTTCATTGTCCTTGCTTTTATCGGACGTGCTGAGGAATGTGCACGTTTCCCACAGTGTCGATGGATTTGGAGCCTGCTTGTCCCAAAAGTCTGCGTCCAAATCCTTGGCTGCCACAGCGGAAGGAGGATTGAATTCCGCGAGATTCGGCCAGGCATCCTCGGGTGATTTTCGTTTCAGGAGAGTTTCCAGAAATTCCAGAGTGACGGAAGGAAAGCCCAAGTTCCAGGCAATCAATTGTTTGGGTACGCTTTGTCGCTTGGGGACCGCCATGTAAATGGTAGGAGGCAGTGCCGGTGAATTCTTTGGCAAGACATTCTTGTCATAAAAGCTACCATCCATTCGTTTGGTTTTGGCAGCTGCCTTGAAGAGCATCTCCTCAATATCGTCATCCAACAAGGTGGCCCCCACACCGTACAATTGTGTTTGCATTCGCTCCACAAGCTTTTTGGAATTGCCCCATCCACTCCGGCAAATCTGTAGATCCATGCGGGTCAGAATGATGGTAGAACCATACTGTCCCGTTTGCAGAATAATGGTGGTGGCATTGCCGGGAACTGCAAACGATTCCTTGGCATCGAGCTTTTTGAGCGCCAACGGTCGGTGACTCTTTTGTTCTTGTACGAGACTGGCATGGATTTGCTGGATGGCACCGGTCAATTTGACTCCGGCAATGGCTTCTGGCAGTTTTCCTTGTGAAACAGCTGCCTCAATTTCCATTTCTTGACTCTCATCTTCCGTGTCACTTCCACCGTCCGTGTCGCTTCCATTCTTCGGTTTCTTGCTGACGGGCGCTTGGCTGCTAGTAGTACTAGTATTGTCCTCCTTGGGCGCCAATGCCAAGACAATGGTCCCAAATTTTCCCAAATTTTTGACGAGCAAGGCCATACCCATGGGATTCTGGTCACATGCCTCGGTCTCTTCCGCTGAGTTGGGTTTCATGGCAGCCGCTACTGCCATGGTCGTGTCGTCATTGTTGAGTTCCTTTTGATGATCTGGATTCTTGGACATTAGATACAGGTGGACATGATCCCGCGAGACGGATTTGTCCTTGGGAAGCACAATGGTCGCATTCTTCCGACCCGCCGTCAAGAGACGCCCGTCATTGGAAGCGGCGGACAAACAAGCATAGAAAGGTCCATGGGTCGATCTCGCCTTGGTCTTTTCATCTTCCACAGCATACACGTCCACACGGTACATGATGGTGGCTGTTCTGGTCTTGTCTTCCTTGTTTGTGTCTGTTTGACAGACAGCACTTGCGGTTTAGTTAGTTGTTGTTGTCAATGGAGTTCCACCACAACCCAACCAATGCTCGTTGTGGCTTTTGCCATCACAGAGTGTCCGTCGTCGAGAAGTGCAGTGATATGATGAAATGCAAAAGATCCAATCGTGTTAGCCATTCTTTTCGTGACTAAACTTTGATGCCATCGTCCCTTGGAAAATAAAACGCAACTACGGTAGCCAGCGAATACGTTCTGCATATTGAATGGAATCCTTTGCAACGATGATGTTCAAAATTGTGTTAGTTTTAGACAATAATAGCAGCAGCCAAATTAGCTAGCAATTGGGTATGGTCACCACCGCAACAGGCGTCTCTATCTGTTGAGGTGCTATCAAATTGATGGCTCGGGGGCTCGGTTAAACTCTTTGCTCTTTCAACAGTTTCATAATTCCATTGCAATGAGCCATTCCCAGGACGGCCACAACCGCCTTTCCTTCTTGATTGTCGTTTTTGCTGTTGTTCGAGTCAATGGCTCCTGGGACGTAGATTATTTCTTCCATGGTGTCACCATTCATGGCTTGTGAACTGGAAGTTGTTGATCCCGTCAACATGCTCCAAAAGGACGGTTTGGTGGCTCTCGGCTGTCCACCCGCCTGATACATTTTGCATTGCTCCAAAATATTTCGGGCCAACAATACGTTGCGCTGGGCAAGAAGCTCTTTGAGAAAGACCCTGCCAAACAAGGCAATCTCCGCCAATGAGACACCCAAGGATCCTGCCCAATCCCCAGTGGTCATTTCATCCACCGTCACCATGGTAGCATCGGCTTCTTGATCCAACAGGAACAGCACCGTCAATGCAATGGTTGTTTTAATGGGTGACTTGATAAGGTACGAGAGGGGATACTTGATCAAGGAGACTGGAGCTGCCAAGAGCAGTTTGGGATCCAAAAAGGAAAATGCATTCAGGTAGGGGTCTCCGAACGGCAGTGCCTCCTTACGGGCAGATGTCACATTGCCCACCAGGCGACCCCATCCACCATTCCAAGGTGTCAGCAAGTCCACAAAGGTTTCTTTAAATCCCTGTTTCAGGCTCGACACGGTAATATTGATGCGCTGATCTCCCAATACCACGGGCCGTTGGTAGGTATCCATGGCCAATTCACAAGCCGCTTTCATTTCAGATTGTAACTGAAACTGGGGTGGCAATGCCTTGGTTTGATTCCAGCGAATGTCGCAGCTTTCAATCACCACGGAACCGAGTTTGTTGTCGCGTGCCAACTCATTAATAGTGTCTTCGGTCAGCTTGATGGAGGCAGGATTGTAATGCATACAGCCTACTAGCTTGACTGTGACTCCCGTGGTGGGTTCTTCAAACTCCAATACTTGTGACGATGCCTGCAAGTGTGAATTTTGGAGTCGATGTATATTCCTGGGGATGCTGACTTGGGTGGAAAATGCTTCACATGGCGACAAAGATCCAAGGAGGGATACCAGTAAGGCAAGCAGAAAAACACACGGAGAGGCAACACTCATTCCAGTCAGGTTGCTCATTGTTTAGGTAGGTAGAGAATGAACCAAGAAGCAGAGCAATTCTTTTACAGTGCCGTCACAGGGAGCGATGCACCTCAGATCTCGTCCTCTCACTTTTCTTGGTTCTATTCTTCAACAACACGTCAGTCTCACGACTCGACTCGAATCGAATGAATGAATCGAATGATTCGATTCATGAGCTTTTCCCAAGGACAAAACAGTTACACGCAGTACGAGTCTAGAAAAACTTAGCGGACCGACTCGACTCTCTTTCGATGCAAAGTTACACTAACGATGACGGCAGTACAAAGTGACAGAAAAGGTGCCCTGGCGGAAGCGGTGGCTCTGGACACGAGCATGGAAATCTGTCATCACAGGGAAGTAAGGATCCGCCACATGCCCCCAATTTCGGAGATGTGGCCCCAATTTCGGAGATGGTCCTAGCCAAATGGACTGTGCCGCTACATTACGTCCATTTGCATTCCAACCCAACAATGATGTAGCCGACGAACTTATTTGTTAGATATGGTGGATGAAAGAGAGCAGCATGAAATCATCCGAGCATTTGCAATGAAAAACATGGTACCCTATGACAGGCCGCAACTTCTCCTGAGGTTTTAGCTCGACTCGTCACGCGACTCGAGGGTGTGCTGTCTGGTGAAAACTGTTGGATGATTGGATACAGCCACCGGTACCGTACAGTACAGTCCGGTCTAGGTCCTCAGCGACATGGTTAGAGTGACCTACTGTTGACCTGGGAAAACATTGTGTATTCTAATGAGCTAGCTAGGAGTTGTTGAATTCTACTATTTCAGTAGCTAATTGAGAATCAAAGAAGCAGTGCACTGTGTACCAGTTACACTATAGCTGCGATGCCTTTGGCCCCCCATGTGCACGTGCTCCAGCGGAGTGCTACCGCTAGCTAGCGGTAGCAGTGGCTCACAATCCAGCTCTGAGTGGATTCGGCGACCTGCATCCAAAGCATTCAGAAGTGACACCGGTAAAGATAGCTATCATGATGACATGTCAGTGCTGGCTAGAGGTTTCAATGAAGACGTAGAGCATCTGTTCTCTCCTGCCAAATCCAAATGACATCGTCTCCTAAAGCCCACACACTGACACATCATTCATTCGACACCCTGAGCAAACCAAGAGATATCCCAACGCTGTCTTGCCTCTTATTCAAAGTGCCCGAGCTTCCATCGGGTCTTGCAAAGCAAAATAAGCCGGCGAGTTGAGACGAAATTTTGGTCCCGAGAAGAAGGGATCCCGGCCGTGATCATGCCCGCGCTTCACAAGACCCCAAGACTATTGCACCTTCGCAGCCTGTGTCGCAGTTCGCCTGTGTCTTGACTTGCCTGCATGCTGCCACAGCTGCATTCACAGCGGAAGTCAACTACTGGACTTGCTTTGGGCAGCGACGACCACCACAACAAACCAAAAGAAGAGACCATGACAGCGCAAGATGACGACATGGCAGATAACAAGATGATAACGACGCAAGAAGAATCAGCAGTCGTAACTGAAGAGGACATAACTAGCAGTAAGCCTTCCGTTTCCTGGGCCGACGGTGCCGATTCCACGCCCACGGAGGGTATCACGTCTGCTGCGGGCAGTAGTCTGCCGTTGAGTCCAGAGTTTTCCGAAGAAGGTTCCACCAGAGCGGCGGTTATGGACGAAAATATTGTATCGACAGTACCGGTATTGATCAGCACTAACGAGGTCAACAACACTGATACTGAGGTTGCTACCGATTCAGCACCTGCTACCCTTTCTACCAACGGTGGTGATACAAAACCCGAAGCAGAGACACCCTGCAGTGACTTTGTGGAGAAGACCCAACCAGAGAGTGACGGTAACAAAGCATCAGCTACCATGACTCCTAGAGTCGAAGATGCTGGCACCCAGAACCCTGTTTCGGTCGCTACTCTCGAGGAGACAATCGTAGAAGAGACAGTAGCAACAGCAAAAGTCGAAGTTGCTACCCTCAAAGAATGCACGAGCTTACCTACGACTTCCGGAAGTGTCCTTCTCCCTCCCAGCTTGAGAGACGACAGTGCCGACGAAGTGTACATGTCCAGGAGTGAAGACTCTGGGGATGCTATTGTTGTGCCCATGCTAACCCTCAGCGTGAGCGCCGACGACGAGGATGATGGCGTCATTCTCCCACCCAGCTACAGCGATGTCGGCAGCCCCATCAGCAACAACAACAGCAAAACCAGCGGAGCAGCAGCTTCGCTCCTATTATCTTTACCAATTGACTCGCTGCATTGCGTGGCGTCTTTTCTGACACCTCTGGAATGGTCTCAATATGGACAAACGTGTAGTGCTGCGGCAAAGGTTTGCCGAGAAATTTTCCGTCGTGTACGGATGCATGGATTTCGGTGTGCCACAGAGGTGGTAATGGCGTGGGTAAGTGCATGACAGTAGGCTGGTTGCAAATTTTGGATGTTCCAATTGCGTCCTCACCAAACAAGAGCTGTTGATTGTGTCATTAGAAACTAGAGCACTTGGCAGACGCCAAAGAACTGGCAGCTCTTTACATTGCCACCGGTGTCCCCATTTATCCTCACTCTTTGGGACACTCGTACCATACCGTGTGCTGGCGGATGGGGCTTGAAGCCAAAAAGTTAAATCAAGAGGCCGATGCTGAGGCCGAGCAGAACAACCCCACCAACAACTCATCCGATCGATCGGTGGACGAAGAAGTGGACGCCAATGCGGTTGACCGCTTCTACACGGAACGAGATACAAGGGCTAGGGATGCCACCAATGTCATGTGCTCGTATCTAGAAGATAAGGCCATGTTCTATGTAGGGCCCACGCAGACAAATGCGCCCAGTCCCATGTCGGGAAGATGGAGCTCCTTGGCATCGTTGCCCGCGGCCGCCAATCGAGAGCAACCAGCGGTTCCTGCGGTCATTGCCGCTGGTGGCGCAGACGCACCGCCGGTACCTCGCCCACTAGGCTTCCGTCCGGCTTCGCCACTCGCATCACCCGCGAGATCAATGTCCCAGTCGGATCTGATGCTCAAAAACAGAGCTCCCAAGGTCCCGGTGTCAATACATCGCCACCTCCTGGATCAGCACTTGTTAGGCCGATCCTTTGTCAACGACGAGAATGGTGAAATGAAAACCCCACCTGTCATTCTATCAGCCGACTTTTTTCATCCTCATTTATCAGTACACAACATCTCGGCGAACAACAGACCACTCTCACATCCAGCGACACCTCCACCAAGGACGCTCGCAGCCGCGGCTGCCGCTGCATCCTCTACGAGCGGAGCAACGGGAGAGAACCTGATGCAGGATCCCGCCTTTCAGGCGTGGGCGGCACGAGCCGCAGCAAACGTCTACAATCGGTTAGGCGGAAATTTGGAAGATGCGGAAGAATTGGCCGAGTTGCAGGATTTGTATTCACAGATTTTTGCCGTCGACCGCAGCGCTCCTCCGGCGGCGGCGGACCCAGAGAATGGGGTTCCGGAGCAGCCAGCAGCTCAACCGCCCGTGGCGCAGCTACCGCCTCCTCCTGCCGTTCACTTTCCATTTGGAAGTCCCCAGCGATCTATTGGTGCCACGAGTTTGGATGATTCTCTGCTCTCCCCGGGACTATCCAGACATGGACAGCCAAGTCCCATTCTGAACTCTGTGGACCTTGCGGTTTACAGTGCTTCTGCCGGCAACGCCAAAGACAACACGGGAAAAACAGGAGAAACAAAACGAAACCTTCGATCCAGATTCACGTTTTACCAACGTCGTTTGGAGGTGCTTCTTCTCCATGGGGATAGTTCTGGTTACGAAGAATGCATGCTGGACTTTTGGGATGAATTCTTCCCACTCTCCGCAAAAATCCAATACTACGACAGGCATACGGCTGTGCCCCGAATTAGCGGTCTCCAGCAATTCCTTACTCAGCCGTGTCCAAAGGAGATTGGCATCGTCCAGTGTGAAATTGAACGTGTCAAAATCAGCTCCAAGAAAAGGAAAGGTGTGAGCATGAAAGGTCGGTTGTTCCCCACGTACGAGTATCGTCTCTTCATCAAAGACCGACAGCATAGCAAGGCTACCGGCGAAGGTGCCGATAGCACGTTCACCGAAGACACTGGCATTAGAAGGGACACCGTTCTGATGGTTGCCAAGAATCGAGGTCGCAAACACGTTGACACTTCTGGTGTTGTGTCGCTCACCCCCGCAGCCAAAAAAGGTGCCAACAACTACTACCTCTATACGCCACAGCAAGCGGACGTTGACACGCACTTCAATTCCATCAACGAGACGGATGAGGAGGTGACTGGCAATATCAATGGTGTGTCCATGTCAACGCCACCACCTTCATCGTTGTCTCCGCCTGTCCTTCTTGGACGTCTTCAGAGCAATTTCATTGGTACTGAATTCCAAATTTACACGCCAAAGCTTCGAAAGAGCCTTCCTTCTGGGAAACAGTTGCGTCGTTGCACTAGCTTGAACGAAGCGCACGGTTCATATGACGAAGATGCAGATTACGAAAGTGGTGCGGCCAGTGACACGGGGACACCCAGTAGTCGCAGACGAAGTCGTTTTGGTCGTCTTACGCTGCGACGAAGCAGCAGTCACGCGACAAGTGCATCCAGCAGCGACCCTGCTCTCAACAGCCCATCCCCTTCCCGAGCCAGGTCACGTTCTCGGTCGCGATCTCAGAAGGAGACCTCCACTATGAGGGCCCTACGAATGAATCGACGGGCAATCGCCAATCTAACCGATGCTGCTCCCGAGGGCGGGAGCGATACATCCATCAATCATCAACCCTTCTTGTGCGAAGAGGAAGATGGCGTTATCACGTACACTGCTAACCTTCTCGGAAGTCGACCGAGAATCATGGACGTGTGCATTCCCAAGTTAACGACTGACGGATCTATTGGAGGCGTTTGGCGGAACTATCTTGAGAACAATGAGGATGTGGACGACTGTGCGCCGTACAACCGCATGCTCAATTGCTTCAAACAATTACAACAGCACCTTGAGAGCCAAAACGACAACGAAGGCGACGGACAAAACGAGAGCGAGGACGACGATCAAGCAAATGACGATTTCGGACTTCTAGCGCTGCAAAACAGACCGCCATGGTGGAACATTGAGTTGGGCTCGTTTGTTCTGAACTTTCGTGGAAGAGTGAGCGTTGCGTCGGTCAAGAACTTCCAACTTTGTGATCGCAACGATCATGATCACATCATGCTTCAGTTTGGACGTATACAAGGAAGGCATTCGTTCACGATGGACTACCAGTATCCATTGACTGCTGTGCAGGCCTTCTCTATTGCGATCTCCTCGCTTCAATCGAAGATTTCGTTTGGATAAGGAAAGGCTCTCCGTGATATCCTGTCCTTACTCTTGTGGTATTGATCTGTCCATGGTTACTCAGTGACCTCAGATCTGTGGTGTGATGGTTAGGTTCTCAGGTAGGCTACATTGCTCAGGGCAAATAATAATTCTCATTAATTTCAGTAGGCGTCGAGTTTTGCTGAGGCTACTCTTGGCCTGCTGTAGTACATGTAGAGCTACAAGTTTCTATACATGCTTGATGTGATTGGTTTTACTCTCCATCGCCATAGCAGATACCCCGGCTCGGAGTGGATTCCCGTGGCATGCGGGACTCTCGCAAGCGACTGCGTTTTCCCGGACAGTTTGCAACTAGCTTGCTCTCACCCTAAAGGCACGGCTACAATGACTAGCTTCATGGTTTCTTACCAGCTACCGGTAGGGGCCAGAGGTCCGAAAATGCAGCCGCGGACGTCGAGGGTATATTGCCATACAGGTGCAATGGACGAACCAAGGTACAGAAGATCCAAGACATGCTCAACGGCCACCCCCACAGACTTTCATAGCATCCCCTTTCTGGATACTGACTGGCTTCGTGAGCGAGTGGCGTATGCAACAGCGGAAGGTCGAGTTACTCTTGCAAGTACAAGATACAATTGACGAACGAAGGTAAAGATCCTTGGATAAGCCGAGCGGCCAACAATGCGGCCGACTTGCTTTCCTGGTTTCCACCTCTGAGTACTGACAGGCTCCGTACAAATGGTGTATGCAGCAGCGGAACGCCGAGTTACTATTGCAAGGACAAGATTGGGAGAGATACCGGTTTCCCCAGAGATCACCAAGAAAGCATATAGCGCATTCTCCGTTGCTTCCCACTTCTGGATACTGGCTCCGCAGATGCAGCTCCACGGACAGTGATCCAATTCTCTTCTTCTTCGAAGCTACCGGTTTGTACATGTACTAGTAACTCCAACGATGCAGTTCCTTCGGTATCACACTACTATCCTCTTTAACACCTTTGTATCCGAATCATCTAAACGGTGCACCTTTGTCGTAGCGAAATCGGTTGCTATGCTGACGAAGATCCGGGCAACTGAACTTGCGAGCGGCTATGGGAAGCCAACAACAAGAAAGAAAGCATGCATTTGCTTTTATAGCCACTTTTGGATTCCACTCACAGTTGGACGTTGGACTACGTTGGATGCGGATATCCGCCATTGTGGAGAGACTCCGACGGCCAATGCAAGTCCAAGGATGCAAGCTGAAACTGCGCCAACGATCGAAGAGGGCTTGATCTATTCTTGACCACAAACGCATGCCCACTGTAATTCGTTCGAAGCTAAAAGACTGGAGGATTCAACTCGACCTCTCACGAATCGATCCATGCCCATCACGATTGGTTGCTGGAGCTTTATTGGACGGCATGAACCGAACTCTTGCGTTTTAGTGGGATAGAAAGGCAAGCATTTCAATGCTGCTTTCGATGCCTCTCCCGTGAAAATTAATTGGAGCATCATCATCGCCCAAACGCCCAAACCATTGGGTTGGAAGCCAGGGAAACCTTTGCTTGTCTTCGGTTTGTGAGCCTCCGGTTCGTTTTTCGTTTTGAAGCACCACTCCGATTTTTATCCAAGGTCATCGTTCCACGCGCTTCCTGTTGAAAGACGGAACTTCTCTTGTGTTCGGGCACTCAAGAGTCATCGTAACATACCGGTGCACCGGTACGATACCGGTACCGTTCTGGACCAGCACTGCAAGATCGGTAAATTTAATAATACGCACGCTCCAATAAAGAATAGAGTGGCGTGCCCGTTCCTATCTTGTTCAGAACAAATGACCCAAAAAAGTGAAAGCGAACCCCAATAGCATTCTATTTTGGCGGAATCAAACCTCCTCACATTTTTCAGATTTTTGCTCGGTTGGAGATGAGAACCCTCTACCCAGTACCGGTACGTAGCGTGATCATGCTCTGCCAAGCCAAAACTCTCTGGTCCTGGTGATCGCTTTCAACAGTTGCAAGGGAGCGGAGTGCCTCGCTGCATTGGGATACAAAAGCGAACTGTACCAGAGTCGAGTCCGATGCATTCATTCTCCGTCTCCAATGCTCTCACAAAATCAAAACCTGAAAAACAAAAACAAAAACAAAAACAAACCAACAACCAAACCAATCATGCCTCTTACTCTCAACTACTCCGAATCCTCCCGTGTTCCCTCCCCCATTCGCTCTTCGAGCCCAAGCGATGTGCGAGGCCTTGGCATTGACGCCTTCAGTGCCAAGCCTGTTCAAGATATCGACTTCGAGCTTCCAAAACCAAAAGACCCTGAGAAACTCCCTGGAGATTGCGACGTCAAGTCGTACGTCAACGACAATGTCACTCCGTACTTTGGAGACGAGTCGTTCTTAGTTGGTGCAACGGAACGCACCAAGAAGACCTGGAACCGGTGCGAGGAGTTGATGGAGCTCGAACGCCAGAAAGGTATCCTGGATGTCGACGCTGCTACCGCCTCTACGATCCTCTCCCATGCTCCTGGGTATGTTCTTTCAGCTGAGGAAGATGTCGTCAAGGGCCTTCAGACGGATGCCCCTCTCAAGCGATCCTGCAAGCCCAAAGGAGGCTTTCGTGTCGTCAAGGCTGCCTTGGAGAGCTACGGATACAAGGCCGATCCCGGCATGGGCAAGACATACACCGAGGACGTTCAAACCCACAACGACATGGTCTTCTCCCTCTACACCAAGGAGATGCGCAAGGCACGCCACACCCATTTGTTAACCGGCCTTCCCGATGCCTATGGACGCGGTCGCATCATTGGTGATTACCGAAGGCTTGCTCTCTTTGGTACGGAAGAGCTTATCCGACGCAAGAAGATTGACTACGACGCTTTGAAAGGATCGTCTCCCGATGTCATGCAGCTACGCAGCGAAGTCACCAAGCAAGTCAAGGCTTTCAAGGAGCTCGAGAAACTCGGAAAGAGCTATGGAGTGGACTTGACAAAACCAGCTTCTACCTTCAAGGAAGCTGCTCAAGCAATGTGGTTGGGTCACACCGCTGCTCTCAAGGAACAAGACGGAGCAGCCATGTCAGTCGGCCGTTGGGATGCCTTCTTGGATATCTTCGCCGAACAGGACCTGAAGGAAGGACGGGCCACCGAAGAAGACTTGCAAGAAGTCATTGACGACCTTGTCATCAAGATGAGGCTTGGTGAGTGTTGCGCTGATGTTTTTGTGGCGTGAACCGACTCCTGAGTCCGTTTTGCTAACCTCGCTTTTCTCTCTCCTGTGCTGCATAGTTCGTCATCTCCGAAGTCCAGCCTACAACGAGCTTTTCTCTGGCGACCCCACTTGGATGACCCTTGCTCTTGGAGGCTGTGCCGAGGATGGAAAACCCCTCGTCACCAAGACGACCTTCCGCTTTTTGCACACTCTCACCAATCTTGGACCTGCCCCAGAACCAAACCTCACCGTCCTCTGGGCCCAAGGACTTCCAGAGAGCTTCAAGCAATTCTGCTCCAAGCAGTCCATCGCTTCGTCCTCCATCCAATATGAAAACGATGACTTGATGCGCAAGATCTTTGGTTCTGACTACGCCATTGCCTGCTGCGTATCGGCCATGAGATGCGGTACCGACATGCAGTTCTTCGGAGCCCGAACCAACATGGTCAAGCTGCTGCTTATGTGCCTGAATGGAGGCAAGGACGAGATCCACGGAGAGATGGTCTGCCCTCTTCTCGAGGAAGCATGCAAGAAAGCCGGCATTGGACCCGGCGACGAAAGTCGTCCCATTGACTTTGAAGCTGTGGAGAAGATTTATCTTAATGTTGCGGTGCCATGGATGGCCAGGCTTTACGCTGATACAATGAACTGCATCCACTACAGCCACGATCGCACATGCTACGAAAACATTCAGATGGCCCTGCACAACACCAACGTGAATCGCTTCATGGCATTTGGAGCTGCCGGTATCTCTGTGGTGGCAGATTCCCTTTCGGCTATGAAATTTGATGATGTGTTCCCCATCCGGAATGAAGACGGACTTACTGTTGGCTTCCGTCGTGCCAATCCCACAGCCGACATCCCATGCTTCGGAAACGATGACGACAGTGTAGATTCCCTCGCCGTGAAGGTGGTGTCTCGATTCAACGAGGAGTTGGACAAGCAAGAATTGTACCGAAACGCCAAGGCTACCTTGTCCATTCTCACAATTACGAGCAATGTTGTGTACGGTAAGGCTACTGGCGCAACACCTGATGGCCGAGAACAAGGCGAGCCATTTGCCCCTGGATGCAACCCAATGCACGGCCGCGACAAGATGGGTGCTCTGGCTTCCCTGTCTTCGGTTGCCAAGATTCCTTATGCCAAGTGCCAAGATGGAGTCAGCAACACCTTCTGCTTGCTTCCTACAGCCTTGGGAGCGCCCGAGAATCGCAAGGCAAATCTTGTAACACTCCTCGACGGATACTTTGCCCGGAATGCGCACCATGTCAATATCAATGTTCTCAACCGAAGTGTCCTCGCTGATGCCCACAAGCACCCCGAAAAGTACCCCAACTTGACCATCCGTGTTAGTGGTTATGCCGTACGCTTCAACAGATTGACTCCTGAGCAGCGCGAGGAAGTGATGGCACGCACAATGCACTCTTCCTCTGTTGCATCGGCAGCCAGCATCAACAAGAAGAAGAATCTTCAGTCTGCCATGTCCAGCAAGTTCAACAACGCCAAGGTCTCCACATCATCGGGAGTGAAGGGATCCGTCTTCAGCATTGATAGTTTTACCACAATGGACGGACCAGGAATCAGGACCAACATCTTCTTGCAAGGATGCCCCAAGAAGTGTGTCTTTTGCTGCAACCCTGAGACACAAGAACTTGCCGACCCTGAACTGCATCCTGAATATGCCATGACTGACGAGGAGATCGCGGAGATGCTGGACCACTACAAGGGCTTCCTTGCACCCAAGAACGGCGGAGTTACTTTGTCCGGAGGAGAGGCCTTGGTGCAGCCTGACTTTGTGAGTGCCGTCTTCCAACGAGTCCACGACATG